ATATATTTGAAGTCATGCTGTAAGCTTCCCAGAGTGGGTATCAAATATTTAGTGTTACGCAATCTCTTCCAAATCTCTTGCCGGGTGGCATCATCAACATTGGGAAAGATTTGCCTTTTGTGCACCAGATGTTCCAAATGTTTTAGGTCACTCAGCGACGTGCCAGGACATCTTGATTGCAAATGTCTCACAGTTTCTCTGTCAAGTGCGATCAATAGGCGTTTTTGTTTATTGCATATGTAGTCGAAGGTAGCGAGTACAAGACTAATGTAGTGCAAGAATTCCTGCATCATTAGATTGGACATTTTACTTAGAGTTATATTATTCGCTACTTACCTCGTCACTCCGTGTGGCTATGATTTTGTGCCAGACAGTGATGTTGAGATCTTCCAGCAGCGCAGGGACTTGATACAACTGGCGTAGGGCAGCATTGAACTCCAAGTGAGAGAAGATTCTGCATAGGATGTCTTTTTTGCAGTCCGTCAGCCACGACCACCAGTGTTGTTTGGAGTAGTTGTCAGACGTCTCGTATTCAATTATCTTTCGAAATATCGTTCCATCGGAGAACTTTCGACTATTTGAGTAGTCGTCAACAAGCGATCTTCTCGCCTGCGTACTCAAACCTGCGGGTGTTTCATGTCAGGACATCGATGTATTGTAAATACACGTAGCATATGGCGTACCCTCTGAGTATAACGTGACTGTCCACCACCTGTGATCGCCCTGCAGGGAGCTAGAATGTTTTGCAGCTTCAATGCGGTGCTTTCCGTGGAGGCATGTAAGGCGAAATCCTTCAGGAAACGTCAAGCGGGGCGGTTTGCTCTGCGAGCTGTTTAGGAGATCGACAAGCGACAAGCCAGAAAGTTGAAGAGCACTTGAAAGGTCATCTTTCCCAATAACTGCTGGTACATAATGCTCATATTGCAGCCGTTTCACTCCTTCCTCAGCATACACACCTATTAATCTTCTTACGTTACTTTGGTCAAGATCGCGCGGATTGTGCTCCGAGAAGTGGAGAAACTGAAGCGGCACCCTTGCTCTCCCACGAAAGTGGCTCGACTTTTGTCTCTCTACCTCCTCTTCAGCTTGAAGTACCCGCGCTTGCTTCATGCTCTGGTTGTAGCGCGTCGTGAGACTGTTCCCTCGTAGACCGCCAGATTCGTGCCGTAGCTGGAACCGAAGATTCGTCGTATGCTTTCCATGCAACAAAACCTCCTGTCATATGTGAACGAATGTGTACAGAGTAAGCATTTGCTATTTTTAGGTACGCTCCATAGCTTGCATAATACACGAAACTTATATCAATTACTGCTATTTATAGATGATTGACATAGTCTGCGTTTCTAACGGGCTTCCTCCACGTTCCACAGTTAATCAGCTATAGATAATAACCGGACGGCTGCCAGGTTGCTCTAAGCATGAGCTGATGTTTTTGAATAGCCACTAGTAGTAAATAGTACTTCCATTGCTACCTGTAACTAGTTGTGCTCTGCCGTGTTTGAAAACCTGTAAGTCTGGAAATTCTACTAGGAGTTGTCTTGCACAGGCTCAGTGGAATGTTCTTACAAGTAATTACCTGGAATGTTGTAACATCCCTCCCGAGATCATCGGACACATTGTGTAACCGGACAAGGCTGCCGTTTAGGCACATTAATTTTTCCCTCGCGAATGAATTCAATTATAACTGTGAAATAATTATATTCTAGCTATTTCCCCTCTAGTAATTAGGTTGCAATGAGAAAATTACAGCAGTTTCAATAATGCTGTTGATCATTTTAGTAAAGACGTTCAGAGTCGCTTCAGCAAATCTACCCTGCACAATCACGATTGTTAGTCTTTCTACGAAATCTGGGGTTAGAATATAAAGGCTCTATCAAGAGAGAATATTGTCACAAATTTCGAACATAATCATTCATCAAAAATGATTGTTCCGAACATGACCGAGTAGAGAGGAGTTTTATCGGCGTTATAGGCCTTGGCGTTTGAATCTAATATAGATTAGCGCAGTTCTACAGTACCGTCCTAAGCCAGTACGGAGTATTATTCTAGGTACTGTACCTCTCTAAGCACTATACCAGTTTAAGAGTGGCTGTATTGCTGACTTTGTGGCTGTTGACGCTACGGCTGCTTATGGCTCGCCATTTGTGTGCAATCGAAAACAGGTGGATAAGCAACCAGTATCCATGACCTTTCCCATTGCCGTCTTTTTAAGAAACTACTACTAAAAGAGGATGCAGAATCACGGGTTAACGATACAACAAACTGTAACTTAGAAGAAGGCTGCGATGATATTAATACATTCGTGCTACTGGGACAGCCTGTACGGACGGCACTGGAGCTCTCACTAGCTCTAGCTCTTCACTTATCCGTGCTACTTTAGTCCTCGGACCTATCGCATCTGTCTCTAATGCAGCACTCTTGCGTTTTCGACTACGTTTTCCTTTACTCTTCTCTTTAGCTGCATCCTTTTCAGCACGCTTCTTCCGTGCCTCCTCAAGATCCTCATAGCTCATGACCTTCGCCGTCCCTATTACCAGTGATCTAGTAGATCGGCGAACTTTCGCTTCATTATTTACTTTCCTTAGGAAATGAATTTGTTGCCGCTGAAGAGCACGCTCGGCAAAGCATGTTTGGGCAGCATTGGCAAAATTTTGTATGTGCCTCTGTAGGCGCTGCTTGTTCATCTCATCTTCCGCATAAGCATCCTCTTTAATCAGGTTATGCAAAAATGTAAGAGCCCCAGGTGTCACTGGCGTCTGGGCCATCTCGCCTTGAGAAAAAGGATCAATTTCACAGGTTCTGAGGGTTGGAATGGTCGGTTTAGCAGCCGTCGGTTCAACAGCCGGCTTTGGGATATCTGTGAGTATTTTGTCGGGATTGAAGGGGTACAAATCGCTTGCTTTCCATCCTGCAAGAATGTTTCTCTTAGTAAAAGCTCTTTCCCTTGCAGGGCTGTATAGATAGGTGAAATGTTGTTTCCCTATTGTCCCTATACCCCCTCGCTCTAGTCGCTCGACCTGGTCACGATAGGCTGCTTTCAGTGGGGCAAACACGGCGACATCACAAGGCTGTAGCTTGTGGGATGTATGAGAGGGAAGGCGACATAGCAAAATGCTGTTCTCAAAACAAAACTCTAAGATTTCAAGGGTTTCGTGCGTCCCGAAGCCGTCACATATGAGGATCCGTGGTCTTCCGTTAGCCTGTTCTTTAGTTTGAGGGTCGAATACACGCTTAAGCCACTCTAAGCTGATTGTAGAGTTGGTATATCCAGATTCAGAGTATGCATAATGCCATCCAGGAGTAGGATAAGTGGTCCAGTTAGCTCGGTGAGTTGAGGCTGGCCAGATTATCATTGGGTCTAGATACCTACCACCGGCGTTGATACATTCGATCGCGGTTACTACTGTGCGCTTCACACGCGCGCCTCGATAGCTTCGCAAGTCATCCTTACCGACAAGGACCTTGACACTGCCGAGCATACTTAACATCACCCCCGTCTCGTCCATGTTATAGACATTTTCTGGTAGGATAGGCTGATCCTGCAGCACTTTTCCAATTACGTTAAACCAGTTCACCACCTTATCATAGATATTGCAGCGATCCCAGTCTAGCGCCGTACTTTTTCTTGCTTTGAGTTCTGGATGGCGTTTCTCGAAAGCCCGAGCCCAGTTCTTGCCTGGAGGCTTGGCTGGTTTGTTCGTGGATCGCTGGCGAGCGACGATGAAGGCCAGGGAAGGTATATGCTTTATTCGCACAGGTTGTCCGAATTCAGCCATTTGCAACAAAAAGTTTACGATGGCTCTCTCTTCACATGGGGTGAGATACTGTTGACTCTGAGCCTTCTCTTCTTTCGAGCGTTTGCCATGTGCGCGATCATGGAGGGTAGAGCGAGCGATGTTGTGATGCTCTGCTAGAGCGCGGTATGTATTGCGTACGCCATGAGGAATGCCTTGTGCCAGCACTTGGCTTGCACGGTCCATGTTAGCTTTGGTTAGTCACGATGAAAATAATGATAGTGACGGGAAGGGTAGGGAGGAGTGAAGCGAGCGCGTAGCTTGCAGGTGGGGGATGAGCCTGACCCTGAAAAGAGGGCTCTTTTGGCGCATCTATTTTTAGCCGCCTGCAATTCTTTGAAACCTCACTAGGTGGTAATCCAGGAGGAGATCGTGAGCGACTGGATAACAACTTGTATTGAGAAAGGCAAGATCCAAAGGCTAAGAGCAGTTAGGTGCCTATAGATTTGTGTATGCAAGTCATTGAACAGTTACCGCCAGGCGGGCTTTGCGGGGAACATGCGTGAAGTCTTGGAACTTGTTCATGGCTCGAGCGCTATCACGTGAGTCTATCACGTGTATCAACATTAATGTTATCAAATCTCCTCTGTTTTCGCGTCTCGAGCATTATAAGTATATAGAACAACGACAAGATAACCATATACAGTGATGACCGGTAGTTATCGGTTTCCCGTTCCTGTACTTTGGTTATCCTGAGTGCACGGCACTCAGAAAGGCGCTTACCGAATAAGTGTTAGCGTATCTCAGGAGCGGTGCATGTGACTTAGAGAGTGGCGATCTGATGGATCGTAGTTACGTGTAACTCGACTTATCTATCATCCATAGATTTCGAGACATCTACAAAGCCTATTGTTAGTGCGGGTCGGCCATTCTTCCTGCTAATGCGACCAAGGTGTTCGTCCGTCTTGAGTGGCGAATGCTTAATCTAAAATTCGACACATGGACACCTCTAAGTTATGCCTAGTTCCGTCATGAGTGGATGGATGTTAGCCAGCTACAAACCCTTCACCTTTAGGCAGAAATAATACGCATATGCAGCGTTTGTTGTCCCTGCACACAACCACTCACGTTCAAATACCAACCACCATCAAGCAAAATCCACTCACCGCCTATCTTCAGCCTTGTCTTTTCTGATGAACACAAAAGATCGCAGACAGCATAATAGTTGTCTTTCCTTCTAAAAGTTCTTTCAAAGATTAAATCAATATGCAAATTACCACAACAGACGTGATCCGCTTTGCCATCGTTGCCTTCACCCTCGTCCTTACCCTTTGGCTCCTCGAGAACTCTCCTTTTGGATTCCTAATTCGAAATATTCTACCAATTACGACTGCAGCGATTATCGTCACAGTTTGGAAGCTATGTGATGTCATAGCTTGGCTTCTAGGTTTCATCTCGAACCCCACTAAAATAATTTGTAAGGAAGACTTAGAACAATTCTTCTGCGGTGTCGCTTGCAAGATAGAGAAGGCAATCTTTGGCCTAGAATATTCTATTTCAAGCGCATTAGCCTGGCTATTGGGATGGTTTCAGTTCACTCTTTGGGAGGAGTGGCAACGATTTCAGAACAAGGAAACCCCAGGTCAGTAAGTTTGTTACTTGAGAAATGCCCGTTGCTAATCACGCAAGTAGAGGAGGTGCAGATGAGAGTCGCACTGCTCGTCTCTACAAGATCTGGACTATCCCACGAGGCTGTCCTCCGAGCTTTCGGCACTTCTATATCCTTCAGCATTCTTCTTCACAGCAATTACCCGAAGATTGAATGGAACAGTACTGAAACTACTATTCTTCACCGACCGAGTAAAGAAGCCGCGTTCGCAAGAAGCTTCTCTGTCTGCTTAATACCTTACTCTATATGACAAACGATACGAAGACACTGCTAGAGAGATTTTCTTGTGGTACATATTGGGAATATCTTGGCGAGGGTAAACATCGGGCAGGTGACTGTTTGGGGTGGGGAGAGGATCGAATCAAGACTATTGATTCAGTGCCCGAGCTTGGATTGTCCACTTACACAAACGAGACTATATCACAAGAACGTAAGTGGCCATGCATCGTCAATTTGTAAGAAGTTCTACTCACACCAGATAGTGTACAGGCCCCTATGCAATACGTGGACACGCTATGATCCCGTCTGGTGGAATACGCTCGACTTTGCTATCCGGCAAGCTTGGCTCCTTGCCGACTATGGCGATAAGAGACGCGAATTAAAAGACCTTTACAAAGATTTGATTAAGCAACGGTTTTGGGGCGCAATACAAACGATATTCGGATCTGATATCATCTCGGTGTGGCTACATGCCTACTCACACGCTGCAATTCTGGCTATCGTAGCAGCTCTTGGTACTGGCGTTGGAGGAGTATTCTGGCCTCTTGCGTGGTCGATTAATTGGAAAGCTCTGGCCAATCTGATCCATGGGCTTCGTTTCGAATGGGACGAAGCGGCGAAAGAGGTAGAGTCTGCAATACCTCAACTTCATGGTCTGGTCGATGAATAAAGGCTTCTAAGGTATGATATTTAGCGTTGTCGGAGTATATTTATCTAGTCTCTAGAAAGGAGCCAAGAGCATTACCTTTTGCTCCCACAAGCGTTGATCAGCTTCACTGGACTAGCGGAATACGAGGCATGATCATAAGTGAGCGATTATCTGGATTACTGCTTAGCATACATAGATCGCTCCGTACCTGAACTTACCATATGGAGGACCTAAAGTCTAGTTTGCCTACTCCACTATTAAGTCTCGAGAGAAATCCAACCAAGATCGCCATTAGAACATGATGAGGTAAGGGGAGGAGTTCAAATGCTGGCGCCCAGGCTAAGAACAGCTGAGATGCTGTGGGCTGATTCAAAGGGCGGGCGATTGTACAGCCTATATGTAGAATGGCGCGGTAAGGTCGGCCGGGCCACACCGGGCAGGACCTTGCGCGGAAGGCGATAATATGATGAGAAACAGGACGGAACTCAGCCACAGACAGTGTGGCGCTTTACCAAGCATAGCCACTATTAGATACGGTTTCGGATGAAACGGCTCGGAATCTGGCGGTCAGTTTCTCACTTCTTTTTTGTCCATCTCTGCTCTATCTTACCCAGCCCTCATGAGCATTCTACAACCCAAACTCCTCACAGGCCGTACAGGTTCAACATGAGCATTTCTTTACGGTGCTAATAATTGCAGTGCTCCATGCAAGAAGTCGTTTGTTGTATACCATGCGGCAGCTATACCACCAGGACATGCGACGCCTTTCCACCTTGATGTGTGCTTGCAACTATCGCTTTCCACTAGTGACACTCAATTCCCTTATCAAAGTACAGACTTCGATCCTAGTGTTTCCTAGCTTGTGATGCCGATCTCTGTTGCCGCCTGCCACGGCTGCTGTCTCCGACCCCCACTCTATCTTAGGCATCTGACTGCCGCTCGCCATATGTCTCAATCATGGGGTGCTCGAAAAGCACAATAATGCAATTTAATTTGAGCGGTTTGTGCGGTCGGCGAAGGGATCAACGGTGGTCTGCGCGGCTTAGGGGTGACGTGATATCACAGGTGCTGCGGAGGCTCCCGGGATATGCGCACTCGACCGTTGATTCATATCTCAAAGTTGTACGGCGGCTGTATTGGAAGCTGGTTGCGGTTTTGCGATTTCGATGCCAGACCATTCGTTAATTTTGCACGAGCGCTAGAACCTTAGAACGCCAATCCAAAGCCGGATTTATGATATCCCGCAGCGCCTGGCAATGGCGCTGCACAAGCGCGGGTTCGAAGGTCTCCACGAATTAATGTACTCACATAACGACGAGGTGGGGCGTACGGGGACACTAGTTAGCTAGACAACCGTCATGTCAGCGCACGTTATTTTGGCTGGAAATTGTGGCGAAGAGATCGCGGCTGGAAATTTAAGTGGTTTAAGGTATGCCACTCCATGCACGGGTTTTGTAAGATATACTTACATGACCGTATAGAAAGCTTCTTGCACTAACTAGAACCGTGATAGCGCCGACCCAGAAAGTACCGATCAGTTAGATAAATTTGCTTGCGATAACGCGCACAAGGCTAGTGATGACTTCCGAACCTCAGAAGGAGGTATTGAGGCTAGGGTGATAATGTTCTACGAAAATACGGACCGACAAAGGCTCGAGTTTGATGCTGTAGGAAGGGAAGTCTCGAATGTCACGAAAGTAGGCGCTATATAAATCAGGCTCAGAGGCAACTATACGAACGTAATTTTTGGGCAAAATAAGGTCACAGATATCTGAAATTAACTAGCTATAAAAGACTAAGTTTATACAATTGTAGTCATATTCATTGTGCGCATAGGTTTTCTAGTTACTGAAAGTCAAAGTACTACTAGTGTGTCCGGTCACAGGGGGAGTCCGATAACTAAGGGAGGGATGTTATACTGAAAACCAATCTAATTTCATTGTTTGCTCCATATCTTCTCAAGTGCTTCAGCTGTGTCTACCCTGAATCTTTTCAGATCCCAACTTTGTGAGCAGAGTTCAGTTCTCGAGAACCCCTTGATTTGATTTTCTCTTCGCGCGAGATCTGACAACAGCATTGCCTGCAACTCGAGCACTCCTCTCATCTCGCTAGCACTACTGCAAACGCCATCAATCCGAGCCGTTGCTCTACCGGCCCGCAATTGAACTGTCATGAGGGCTAATTGAAATACGGTGAGTTTCGTCCCCTGTATAGGTGAAACGGCTGGGCTGGAATTGTGCGCTTAGCTATACTACTTATCAAAGGGCAGCACAAAGGTGTATAGACAGTGGGATATTGGCCAAGATATGTTCGGACAAGCTAGGAGATTAGCTGCTGTTCTAAATATATCAAGTTGCAAGTTTGGACCATGGTGTCCCTATTGTGAGATGCATGGGTAATTCGTAGTAGCGCCACACGAGTAATCCTCATAGCCTCATTTGTAGCCAATTTTCCTCAGAATCGACTGTTTTGAAGCCGCTTTAAAGATTCGACGCTTTTTAGCAAAGCCAGTCATTGCACAGTATGCATGCTTGGATAACCTGTTCTATCGCCCTACACTGCATTGTTTTTTTTTGAAAGTTTACATGGTTATCCATGTCTGGGTTGACGTCGACTGCAATGAGTCTTTTCGAATTCTTTTTTAGTCATGCTTGACTCTTCACTCTACCAGGAGAAAAGCACTGCGTGAGATTTAATCAGACCACTGTTTGCGCACTCACTATAGGTCCCTGCATAGTAGCTTTTTAAACCGCAGGAGCGATCACTTTGCAGCCTAGCTAGCCCTGTGTATCAAAAATATCTACTACCTCTTTTACTACGAGAGCGTTAGCGCTGAGAATGACATATTTTGTTGTGAAGAGTAGCGCTACACTGGAATAGATATTGTGAGTATCCTGCCACACTCATTCATGGTGGGTTTATCTGCTGGCTTCTAAATTTAGAGCATACAACGTCCGCCATTTAGCAAGCACACTACAGCTTGGCGCCCTTCCAGAGCCTAAACTGGACCCTGTCTCTCCTGATCTTCTCACATTTCAAATGCTCAATTGAGCTTCGCATTGTGGACACTCCGTCTGCTTACTTCTCACAGTGTCTTTGCTTTCGTAGACATACTTAAGGTAAGAGCACTCTATGCAGTCGGTTTACTTTTCCATCTACTCAGACTAGAGCACAGGAAAAGACAGTAATCCGTGCCTCATTTTCATAGGCTGCTATGTCAGGTGCAACGCCAAAATACCCAGTGGACTATCGAGTCAACATCATCAACTGCGCTTTATGCGGTAGGCGTCGCTCGAATCGTTATCGCTCTAGTCTGGAACCGGAGCCTCTGGTATGTTCTAGATGCGCTGTAGCAGCTCGACGGCCGAATTTAGTCATAGAGCTTCTGGTCCATAATGATAGAAGTGCGTATATGGAACCAAACACCCCACATTCAATTGAGGCTTCGCCTACCCAAACACCGTCGAGGCCTATCGAGCTGCCTGCCGACCAGCGCAATCGTCCTTATTCTCGATGGCGTAATCACTGCCGTCTAGCCTCAATAGAGGAAGAACCACCTGTCGTAGATCGCAGTACCAAGCCAAGGTCATACAGAAACGTTCAATACGTCCATGGATGCTTCGCTCGGCACTCACTATCTACCAGTTGATAGTAGTTAGAATGACTTCTAAGGGCATTTGGAAAGGGCTACAGGTAACAGGGATAGCTGGCTTGCTCATGCACTCGAGAAACGTCAATTTTCATAGTGTTCGTGGCAGATAGAGTTTGTGCAAGAAGTGGAAGTCCGCCAGACATGTATCAAAGCTCGTGGGTTATGTCAATAGATGCAAAGATACACGTTAGCCCTGTAAATCTACTACACACTAGCTCTCTTACATGCATCAAACGCAGTAGTGTGCTGGTTGCGTAGCCGAAAGAGCAGGGTCCGCTGTATAGAGTAAGACAAATAATCAGCTCAAGTCTTTTATTTTGATGGAATAGTTACCATTATTGTTGTTTTTCTTTGGTGTAGATTGCGTAATTGAGGAAACTCTCAATGTGTTCTGCCATGCAGCCAATGCATGAACCTTGACTTGTTTCACCTCCAAGAGGGTAATTTCTCTCGCTCTGTGACGAAAAGTCCTGTGTGCCTGAACTAATTAACGTTAATCAGGTCGAATATTTTGGCCATATGTTTGTCATTAAGGCACGTAGGTATTTTGTTGATGCTATGTTATTTTCTGAAAGCCCGCCTATGTTCTTGAATCTAATATCCACGGGAAAGCGACCCCACTGGACGATGATCAAGACTCCCTGACGCCGCCTTAGATTGTGGAGGAAGTCGATTGGCTGCGATTGGCTGCAACTGGTCATAAAACCCTACGACTGATGTCAAAGGAGCGACATGGCCGACGGAACCGAAATCGTTATATCCCTTTTTCAATCGCCTTGAGCTCTTGCGTGGAAGTGAAGGTTTCAGGCTATCAGTTTGATCTTGCAGCTCCGTGGTCACAGTCTGGTAAATGATCCCACTGTGAAGTTCGATGGGATTGCCAGTATCAATGGGGTCTAGTAAAGGCGCCTCATCGGCCACCCGGCATGCAGCAGGATGAGTACCAAATTGCTGTGTTACACCAGACAGAGCAATAGATGGGTCAGCTGCACCCTCCACAGACACTGGCGAGTCATCGCGCCTACGGAAGAGAGCCCAGAAAACTAAGGTCGTAACAGCCATACTTCCCGTGAGTGAGGCGTAGAATGTTACAAGATAAGGATTGCGTGCGACTGGCGTCAATGCCATAGCACATGCCGAGCCCATACCGCCAACGAGTAGGCCAACTGCTTGGACGACAACCTTCATGGCTTTGGGAGACTGATCGTATGCATATTCCAGCGCAGTGACATACGCGAAAATCTCGCCTGCAGAAATTAAAAAATACAGAGGCGCCTGTATCCAGACGTTGATCTGGTTACGGCCACAGCTCCCCGGCTGGTTGTAGCAAGGCGGTGACCGGTAGATGAATAGCTGCACCACCGTGGCGTATAGCATTGACAACGTGATGAAAGCAAAACCGAGGGTAATCCTGCTCACCGGCTTTAAGTAGATCTGACGGCGATGGAGAAATGGATACAAGACCTCTTGGATAAAAGGTCCAAGTACTATACAGCCGACTTGGTTCATGGCCGGCAGCAGGTCGTTTGGTGTACCGTTAGTCTGCATCTGGCCTGCTTGGGAGATCAGATTGTTCTGCATCTGATCGAAACATACAAAGAACATGATGAATGCAAGCCTTAACAACGTATTAACGAAGGGCCAATGCCTAAAAACATGGGGGCTTCTTACAGAATCTGACAAGCCCGAAGACCTTGAGTAAGTTCTTCCACAAGCTGCGCACTCCAAGACACTAACTTTTGGCAGCGTATAAGTTGGTAAGAAGGGTCTGCATGTGCCATTTTGAGGCCATTTTGACAAGCGCAGATGATGATCTTCAATGCTTCGGGTAGAACATTCTGTTCCTGAGGAACTCTGACTGCAGCGCGTCAGCGAATAGAACTTGAAGATAAATCAGTGGTAGACTCATACTATAGTATTGCCTACCGCCAACAAGCATGATAAACGCAGTCACCATAAAGCCAAATGTGAGTCCGTAGGCACTCGTAAAGCTGACGTGGGCTTCCATGTAAACGGTTGCAAACCATGAGAGCGAGCCGACGTTGCCAACCCTGCTGAAACATTAGCCATATGAAGGCCTCGCTTTGAATACTCATCCCCGTTTACTTCCCACGACTCACCAGTAGTACAGGTTGTAGATATATTGCAAAGTTAGCTGATAGTCTGTAATGACTACCTCTCCCGTTTTAAGCTTCAAAATTCGAGGTTCCGTTTGAGTTTGTTGATCGGCGATGAACGGGACCATAATCGCTCGAAAACCTCCCCCTCCAAGACCAATGAGGAACATAGCGACCGCAAGTCCCGGAACACCCCACCCCCTCTCAATGAGGCTATTCACGGAACTAATGGTCAACGTAGCGCAGCCGAGGCAGTACAGCACTACACTGACAACTAGTGTGACGTAGCGTCCAAGGTAGCCATCCGCAACAACTGCGAATAGGATTGGTGTAGCATAATAGAACAAGTAAAAGGCGCAGTATACCCGCGTTGCCATAGATTGCCCGAGGCCCAGAGCCCCAGCTGGCCGTCCTGGGTCACTATGAAGCTGGTGTTCTATGTAGTTCTCTACGCAACAGGTGATCAGCCATTCTCTTTTTTCGAAAGTTTGGGGCAATAACGTACGCCATGGCGCGGTCAAACCCCAAAACGCAGCTCTTTCCCAAAATCCTATGACTGCCACGATCCAAAGCCGCCAAGGGACCTCTCCTCGTACACGCCGCAGTTCGCTATACTTGTTCAGAGACTCGCTGTCACCTCGATTAGACCGCACTGCAAGCGTATCAAAGGAGCAGAATTCATACTAGTTGTTCTCTATTCTTGACGGCTTTGCCATACTGACTACTGTTTTTGAGCATAAACACCAAAAAAAGAACCCATAAGTCAGATTAACGAAACCCGCCCACAAGGCTAGGGCACCTTTTAGTACTTTGATAGTCAAGGCAAAAAATCTTCTAGTCACTTGCTGATGCACCAAGTATACACTACACCCGGAAGATTTGCTCTCTCACTCCCGGCTAATAGGTCCAAGTTTTATCCTCTCCCTGCAAACATATGACATGGATGATGAGTAGCCACTACAGGCTGCAAAGGCATGAGCGAAGCGTCCTACACAGCAGTCCATAGGCGTCAGACCACTCGTGAAGAACTCATTTAAGAGTCAGCAGATTGCAGACCATGCTGAGTCATGCATGTATCTGTACCGAGTGACTTAGGATGCGATCGACAAACCACTCGTCCAAGCAAACCAAATGCGCCAGCTTGGTACTGTAGCAATGCTAACATGACTCCACTACCGTTGACCCAATATCTGGTGGCAACAAGCATAGTGCAGCACCACACCGCACCTCGACTTACACTACCTGTTGACCTAAAGGAGCTGGGTTGCGCTGGTGATTCTGTAGTGTTAGTTTAAGCTCCTGCAACATTATTTCACGTGTATTATACATCATAGCCCCTTCTCAGTTAATTCTTCCCTGGTTGTAATGGCAGAATGCTCGAGCCGCGCTTCTCCGAGGCTGGAGCCTAGAGGAAATTATCATGAAAAGCTCCATCGCCTGGGCAAATAGATCGTAGCACCTACTTTCCTAGAGGCCAAGGCATATAATATCGAAGCTAGCGATCACTGGGAAAAGAAATATAGAATCTTATATAATATAAGTATTTATAAGTAGACCGCACTGACGTGCCTATAGAATACAGCTCTAATCTTGGCTGCGCGCGACAATTACTCTTACTTCCTCGTCACAAAGCTACTAAGGAAACATTCAATACATGACGCCATGCACGAAGCGAAAAGGGACGTCTCTGCGACACGCAGACCCTGCACAGCGCTGCGGAATGCTCTAGGAGAGCAAGAAGCAGATATGAGGATCAATGAATTTCTCAAAAATGTGAAAGAGAGGCCTGATGTCCTGAAAGAAAAACAGAATAAAAGCGGCCTACGGAGACTATGCATCGATAGGAGACCGCACCACTGAGAAGACACTCTGCGAAGGCTAGACTATCAAAGTCCCTACGAGTTGGATTCAAACAGCTATTTCCCTTATAGTGTAGAGGGAAAGTAACATGAAGTAGACCTTTGCGCAACGGACACAGTCGCAGGAACTGGCCATGCAAACAAGACATGGACATATGCTCGATCTCACGAAGCCTATGGAAGTATCAGGGTACGCCGTCGAGGCTCAACGCTAGTAGACAAGAGCCATCAGTGCATGCTAATACCATAAAATCTTGGTCGTATGTTACACGGGGTTGTGCTATAAGGGTTCAACCGGCTTGCAATCTTGGAAATGTAATTGTCTACAATGACTACCACTCATATCCACAACTTCAATCTCTTCGAACACGAGCAGAATATTAGTTACAGGATATGCATGAGTATTGAGCACCGTAGCTCAGGTGCTTCCCACCACCACCACCATCGAAAGTGTTTCATCCTCAACCACGCCACAGCTAAACACTGGTGAAGCCTCCCTTACGATAAAAAGGAAATCCACAACAACCGGGAACTATTTCAAGCCAGGTTTCCTAGATATGGTCTCAATAGTTCCTTCTTACTTCGCCCTCCACTGCATGGACGTCGTGCTGTGTTTGCCTAGCAGCGATAGGCCCTAGTCAGACTTGTTACACTTTAGCTTACGCACGTAATGATTAACTAGCGTAAATATACGTACTGTACGCACTTAACCAGTGGCTATCCAAGCATCTCTCTATCATAGCCTTATAGATCTTCCTGCGATCGATAGACACGATCGAACTCTATTTCCCGGTCTTGTAGGGCGACACCATATTTATCGTAGAATTAGAGTTCGCCTCCCCCCCAAAATCTTCTTACGCTAGGGTATCGACCACCCAGCTATATAGAAAAGTCAAGTTGTTGGCAAGAAGTAGTCGTGCAGTTATTTACTACCCCAGCGTCCACAAGAAGTATAAGTAAACGTTAAAAGTATACCCCTTCATCTTCGTCCCAATCGAGGGCTTCGTATGGAAAACACTCTACATCTTGTAGAGAGAGCACGGGTAGGGATACGAAAGCACCATAGAAGTTATACTATAGATTACTGGCCAGGGCATCCTTCACATCCTCCACTAGTATCGTCAAGTCGTCTCACTTTAGTCAGTAATAGCGAGGAGATCTATGCTCGTTGCAACGGTACCCCTAATTAAGGCCGTAGGTAGGTAGCTTCAAACTCGTAGCGGTCATTATATATAGAAGGTGAATCGAAAAGAATGGCTGGACTATAGTATTTTAATTACAATACCTCGAGAGCATATTGTGCTCTTATATACAGCAGGGCAAGCCAGAACAAGACCCTAACAGCTAAGGGCACACACACAGACAGAACAGCGCATTCCAGTACTACTGTATAATATAGTCTTTTGAGGGACACACGCCAAGCTAAGGGAGCACACATGCAGGCAGAAGGGCACGTTTTAGGATGAAGGGCACAAGTTCTGCTTGGCATGCTCTGTGATAGGCATTTCTAGGTACCTAAAGTCTGCGGAAACCCATCAGCAGGCTGAAGTGTGCCCTAGCTAAGCAACGGATATTAAATCATCTGTTCGCTATATCCAGACGGATGGGTAGTAAAACTAAGCAGTGCTTCGCACTGGAGAACTCGTCTCGTCTCTACACCACTGAGTAATAGCCTCATGCGCAAACACTTCTGTCTGCAACATTTCCATCTCCTATTACAGCGACCAGTACCAACTAACCAGCAAGAAAGGCCATTCTAAGTGCTGTCGCACTGGGCTGACAGCGTTAGGCAGGCTTGGCTGAGCTGGTCGTTTCGCAGGACTTGTTGGGCATAAGCATGCTCAAAGGTTGAGCATCGTATTACAAGTGACACGCAAGAGTACTCTCCCCTGGTTGCTGACCACGAGTGGTCGAAAATCTCACTCGGTTCACTGTCAGCAGGATAACCCTTGTGGGGCAGGATCACGTGACCGTTGTCCCGCCAAGACACACCATCCGTGGGATGGCAGGATGGACGGCATGGCACAACGGGATGACAGAACTGAAAGCAATGAGAATATACGGATGGACGGATTTCATTGTTTGCTCTCGTTGTGGTCGACTCAAGTTTTACTTTCTTACAAGTTCCTTAATTACTTCTCTAAGTTTTTATCCAGGTTGGGGTGAGATAACTATCAGCAGCTGTCCGCGAGATTGCCGAAGTAGTTCTAGTGGAAATTAGTTATGAATTTTCAACCGATAGTAAAGACAATCAATTCTAAAATAAAGTAATAAAGTATTAATCTTGTTGAGTAACAACTTGTAAGAAATCAGAATTTGAGTTGACCACACCAAGAGTAAATGATTAAATCTATCCACCCTTGTATCCTAATTGCTTCCTGTTCTGACATTATTGATGTGAAGGCCGTTGTGTGTTGTCTTTTCCTCACATGGCAGGGTTGTCATCACTGATGACAAGGTCTTGGCGTCATGCAAATCACGTGACCTTTAGCACCGCGGTGATTATCCTGCTGACCATTCCGTTGGTGAGAATCTTCAACCACTCAGGATCATCATCAAAAGTGTGGGTCCTCTTGACTATCACTCGGGGCATTATGTCAGCTCTTTCTAGAACTACAAGGCATTCAAAGGGCTTGGAAATCTGCGGCAGGTAGATGGTAGCTTGTACCTACTCACACATCTGTGCTGGTTTGTTCATACTATCTTGTCTGTGCTTTACCTCCTCCATAATAGCAGACGAGTACTGTGTCGTTTCCTTTCAGACCTACATTGAACTTTGTGCTCACAGGATGCTTTCTCATGGCCATCATACCTGCTCTGTTTTTCACCCTTTAATGTAAATCCATGCTGTGTGTGTGTGGCTGCGCCAAGCTTCTGGCAGTTCTGAAGTACGGTCGTCTCAAGTGAATTCGATCCTTACATGAGTAACCACTTAGCTCACCAATACGAAAATAGAGTACACGTGACCTACGTAGCTATATGCCAAGTATGTTGTGGTGTAGTAGCTGTGCGCATATATAGGGATTTACTTTCGGAGTAGATAGGTAACTCCTTCACTCAATTCGTTAGTATAGCAAATCACTGAGATGGTCTCACAATAGCGAACTCATGCCTGCAGCTACCCAAAAGTATCCAAGGCGGAATGTCAGATCTCGCTCCTAATTTCGTGACCTTTCTCTGCGCAGAGCTTGCTGTGCTAAGAGCAGTAGCTAGTGTGGTAATCTAGCCCCTTCGATCGAGACAGTAGCTTTCAGATTTTTCTTAAATATGTTTTACTAACAACCAAGCACAAGAGCGATAGGCTACATATGTTTCGATCCTCAGAACGGAGAGGGCATCTTGCCCTGTGGCATTTTCGTGCAGTACAAAAAAGGCTGGTATTCCGTAAGCTGCATCAATATCTTGTTCCATAAATAGAAATCCTAAAAGTTCAATGTTTGCGACATTCTGATGATTTTCCTTCCTCCAAATAGTAATGCAATAGCATTTGTCTTGCAGCTTATGCTGCGTGACCAGCTTATTGCGGCTTAGTGCATCTATGGCTATACTAAATACACGCTGATCTCTTTAAAATGTATTTGTCTTTCTCTGGCACGTAAAAATCTAAATTCCTCGCAAACGATTAAATACACCCAGAAACAAAGCTTGTATCAAACGTGCGCAGTGAGTTGTAAAACATTGCGTTTGTTCCAAGTCGTACATGGAACGCAGGAACGTTGGGGAATCAGAGTCAGATATCTCAGGGCTGGCCTGTAATGAAGGAGCAGGAGTAAATCAACCCCAAGGATCACGACATGCAAACCAATTCTACTCTCAGTTCGGCTGTAGCTGAGGGCGATATAAAAAACGTACAGCGGATAATCAAAAAAGAGTGCATCACCCCTAAGGCTACTGTAGATGGGCAATCACTTGTACACATAGCATGTCTCTGGGGCCGTAGCAAAGCAGTGGTTTTACTTCTCCTCAAAGGCTTCAGGGCCGACCTTGCAGATCTCAACAACCGTACCGCGCTTCACGAAGCCGCTTCTCGCGGCCATGTCAAAATTATCAGGCGTCTATTGGATAAAGGAGCAGCAATCAATGCAAAAGACAATCTTGGTTGGACTCCACTTCATGAAGCTGCTGCTGGCGGCAAGACAAGGGCAGTTAGCCTGCTTGTTGAGAGGGGGGCCGACATGAATATGAAGAACAATCATGGCTGCACCGCGCTTCACAAGGCAGCTGCTAGTGGCAGCGTCCATTCGGTTCGTTTTCTATGCAAAAAAGGAATGTACGTTGATACAACAGATAGAAGATGTCGTACTGCTCTGCACGATGCAGCTGCTCGCGGTCACGTGAAAATCATCGGTTGTCTTTTGGACAATGGGGCATACATTCATGCAAACGATGATCTTGGTCGGATTCCACTTCATGTAGCAGCTGCCCACGGCAAGAAGAAGGCCATTGTCTTACTTGTTAACAAAGGAGCTCACATTAATGCACAAAACAACTTAGGCAACACCGCTCTTCATGAAGCTGCCTATGAAGGGCAATTCGTATTTGGCGTGCTATCTAAGAAGGGGGCATGCATGAATCCGAAAAACGTCTCAGGTTTGACTCCACTTCATGTAGCAGCAGCTCGCGGTGACGTGAATATCGTCAACTCTCTAATTGATGAGGGCGCAAATATCAACGCAAAAGATAACAAAGGTAACACGGCAATTCGCGACGCAATTGCCCGTGGCGACGTGGAAATCGTCAGTTGTCTTGTGAGCAAAGGAAGAAGTATTGATGCTAGGGACAAAAAATGCCATATAGCGTTTCACAGAGCAGCCTCTTGCGAAGAGAGGGACACTATATGTCGTCTTATCAACCAAAGAGTTGGGTTAGGCGACTCTAGCGAGCTGATCGAGTATTTTTCTGAGCTTCCGACAGAGTTACAATTACTAGTTGTGGAGCGATTTGGACCCAAGGCCAGATTGCGCGATTTTCTGAAATATGAGAAGATCCTCAATTACAAGAAGAGATGCTTGGAACTAGCGGCTACAGAAATGGTGGGAGTGGAAGAGGCATGGCTACACTGGTTGAAAGCGCAAGCGGAGGGAGTAGCGCTTTGTTTCTTCTCTGGTAGTCAAGAACAAGTAAAGTTCTTAGTAAAGCATATGAGAGGTGTGTTACATAGCAGAGGCTCTTTCATTGCTAGGATGCTAACCTTGCTCTAGTTTTGCAGAGACTCACGATCTCCGTCGGTGTTGTGTTTCACAACGGAGTAGTACATGGATATCTTGTGAAAGAAACTGGTAATATACCAGTATGCCCTAAGAATACTCTATTTCATCACGAATGCCGTATTGGAGTTGCTAAGTCTAAGAAGGACGTACCACGATCGTACCTGGTGGTACAGGCCTATGGTGCTTTGGGTCCCAAGAACCGATTTGCCGCGGTTGGTGCGCTGACTAAGGAAACCTTGAAAAGAACTTTTGGACCCGCTCTTCAGTTGGTGCGTTTGAACAAGTGCGACCTGGTGGATAGATTCGCGACAATCAGGCTTGCACATGCAGGTTGGGTTTCAGAGTTTTGTTGTTGTATTGGGAACATTGGCGCTGAGTCTGTTTGTTTGCCTTGTCTTGAGTATCATCCTGCTATTCAAGACTTTATCTTGGTCATTCAACCCGCTGATCTTCTTTGGAATTGTGTTGCACAATTCATTACGGGAACCACAGATGCTGTAGATAGTGTCACTCATGTTCGTGCTGATCGTATACCAATATTCAAATGTCAAACTTGAAGCTATGTTAAGTAATGATCATAGTAACTATGGAATTGAAAAGAACAAACCATGAGGATCCATCGCCTATTGATATCGACTTCTGGGTTATGCAGGATGCTCTGTTGCTCTGCTGCGCCAAGCGTTACAGACCACAGAGAACGACATGTGACTGTGCCACGGTAGGGCGGGTTGCTGCACGGCGAGCCAAGCAGCATCCCTCAAACCTCTTACTGATCCGTGTGTGTCATCAATTTGAGTGAACGATTGTCTGTCTAGCTTTTTGAACGGAATGTGAATTCTTCGCAAACGCGGACGCTCATACAGTTCTATCAAATTCCACCTAGCTAGTTACCTCTTTGAAATCTTATGTGGAACAAGAAAACATTTGTAGACTATATACAATGTTGAGAACACTAGAAGGCATCCGCATATTACTGAACATGTGCCTATTGCAGGTTGCGACCAGTGTCCCTCTCGTGCGGTATAGACGTTGAGGAAGACTGTGGTTAGTCCAGTCAAGGAATTCAGAAACCCTGGGCTTTGATAAATTAGTACAGTTGAAACAATGGAGACAGACAGATTGACGCAGTTGGAACATACAGAAACAGCTTATCTGCGAGCCATAAGTACTGTCGCCGGCGCTGGCGCCAAAGCCAGCCGACTCCAGCTATTCCCAGCACAAAGAAGAAGACTGCCACTGCAAGCAAAGGGACATTTTGGATCGTGCGCTGAACAACTCTTCCCGGTACGCTGCTGCTAAGCGATGAAGTATTCTGAAGAGAGGTGAAGGTGCCAGGAAATACAACAAAACCGGCTAGCAATGTCCACAAGGAAACGGTAGCTAGTATGTTGAACATCTCTGGAGTGTTATACGACTCAACTATGAGGTCATCGTATTTGTTACTTTCTCTGATCATTTTAGGTGCAACATTCTGACTAGCAGGTGCAGCTTTGTCTTGCTGATCCATGATTGGTTTTTTTGGAGTCTAGAGGATGGTGTGAACAATATTCTATCGTTCTCTTACTTATGTATTGTATTGGGCCTCAGCGTATGCATCTGACGGACAGATGCAGTCAGCCATAGCCCAAAACGACCGTATCAGCGTCTGGAACTGGCGTGGTGGGGGAGCCTCATAATCTATATATATAGCAGTGTTTGGCTAATTATCTGAGATATGTCTTGAGTCGAAAATGGCCCGCTGTAATATTTTGCATCTGACGTTATAGGATGAGAATTAATGTGCAATTGGATTCATCTCAAAGCAATATGTGAATTAAAAGAATGCGAATAAGTGCACAAAGAAAAGAGAGAAAGACAAGTAAGTTCTTGGTTGCCACAAGCACGTTCTAGCCTCATCAGCTCTTTGAATGCTCTTGTTCACACCAGTAATCCTGTGAGAGGCTTGGCAGGCAGGACCAAGAACATTAGAATAGCATTCAGACGAGTCCTTGCGGTTCGTCCCAAGGATTGGATAGGAGCTCTTTACTACGCAGGTTCTCAGCCTTGCTGGCCCGATAGATACCCGATGGAGGTCCGAGGGGCTGTCTGGAATCGACTTACCTCCGATGCGTATTTCTGACTACAGTACACGTACAGATTTACTTACATTTCACGGCTAGTGCATTGCTATTGAGTAACAGTGTGGTGTTTAATGTTCGTATGCAAAGGGACCGTTTCCACGTACTTACACGTGCAAATGGGGGCTCGTAATGATTCGCGCATTAACAGTAGCGCCACGGAGGAATAGCAGCACGCCTAACCTTCTAGCTATTGGCCAAACTTAGTCACTTAGGAGGCTCGTGTTCGTCGTGCCATAAAATGGCCCGAAGGATATAGATAGCGTAAGACACTCGTTGTGACTTAGTCTTAGCTTAGCTCTAAGTGCTAGCACGCTATAGATACGCGATCAACTCTGTTTAAGATATATGAGTAGTTAGCTACAAAGAAGAGCACACATCATTAGGGTAAGCATCGTAGGAAGAGAAAATTATTGGAATAAGCATTCTCTACCGCTCGGGGATATATAGCCGAGTAAGAACTCTAGTAAGTTGACGACCTGCATCAACCGGCCTATCGGGACGTGCGCTACCGCGCTGCGTGCGACGCTGGCGTGTTATTCTAGAGCGCAATTAGCTTTTAGCCGCCGTACATCATTATTCACATCCTGCAGGATCTTGTTAGCCTGCACGGCATCTGCATCGCGTAAAAAAACGAGTCATCTGCAGCGCCACACGCCAGGGGCACAAAGACTGCCGAGGATCGGCAATATATGCGAACCCCAGCTATACTTCGAGATGGCGTTACGTTCTGCAACCTCGCGACGAATATAGCCCTTACTGCACTATTCTATTACTGTATAGTAGCATCGTACCATGTCTCTCCGTGCCGCATTTCTTTACTAAGAGGGCAGTTTGCGCGTACAATCCACGCGGGTGAACGCGTCATAGCAACAAATAGCGCTGCAGCTTCACACCTCTGCGGCATGGTAGCTGCTGTTGCCGAGTCATCCCATGTCTAGACATGCTCTGCCATGTCTTCATAGTGCGCTGCCTAGACTCAAAGAGGGTTCTGGTAAGCGCGGGCGGATATGTGCAGCCGAGGCTGTGAGTGCGGCACAGGTCAATCGTTCGAGGCGGCTCTGGCGCGTTTAGACATCAGCAGCATAGTAGCATACTCGGGCCGCGCTGGTGGCTTCGTGCTCTAGTATAGCTAGCTGCTACTCATTTTTGATAGCTCAACTGCTATTTGCAGAATCAGTACTAGGAGCCCATACTACAAAGTATGTTATGTGGCAAGTAAGCAGCACGAGCAAAGCAAGGAGAGCTATGACGACCTGCTGGAAGTGGGTCATCAAATTACGCGTGTTGATAAGCGGCACAGCATCGTGCTGGGCCAACTTTTCTGCTTATTCAACAAGTAAACCCAAGTGGTTTATTCTAGCTTGCGGCACGGTGCCTGGCAAGACCCAGTACCAGCAGATGACTGCCCCATACCGAAGAACTGCCGATAAAATGAAGAACTGCTGCCGCCACACGTCTGTCTGCAAGCGCCGGCAGGGCTGGGCATGCAGGCCCTATAGCAGCCGCTTCTGCATTCCCGAGGTCGACGTTGCGCCAGTCGCTTATGCACACCCAGCACAAGGGCAGCAAACAGGCAATCCGCGCAGGCTCGCTCGCCTTTAGCTGTCTTAGTCTAGGGCAGAGCATGTTGCAGAGCCCTGTTTTGTCATCTACTCTAGTGCGAATATAGAGGTCGTTGTACCTCTATAGAGAGGCACGAAGCTGCCTACTTCTATATCTCGAGCGCGCCAATATGAGCCGTTTCAGCGACGAGGACAAGACTCTGCTCTATATTATCAAAACTACCGCCGATGACCTAAGAATAGGCTCTTGGAACCACTACACGACCATTTTCAACCAGTTTGCCTCACGCCATCGGACCCAAGATGGGCTGACTGCTGCGTATCGCGGTCTTAATAAGAGCACGATGGAAGCTAGAGCCCGTGATACGGCATGGGACGAAACAAGAGAGCAGGTGCGGAATGAACTGATTAAAGTACGGCCAGTACATCGCTCTTAAAAGAGAGAAGCTAATAGAGCGCGTAGGAGAAGGAGCGCAAGCCCCTAAAAAACCTAATATCCCGCTTTCATCGATTAGACAGTGAAGACAGTACAGAGGTGGCATGCCCGGTTCCTAGGCAGGCGCTGTCGCTGCCTTTGTACGAGTGGAGCGGTGCGAACGCATTCGCAGACCTTGGTGGTTACACACCCTCCCTCCCACAACAGAGCGGGCTATCTAAGGAGCAAGTCTGGAGAGTAGAGAAGTGTGTTTCGGATGATATGCTGTGGCCTGCATCAGCTATAGAGTATTCTTTCGCTAGCAGTACTACAACTGGAATCAACGTCGACGACCAACCCACGTATGGAAACGACGGCTCAGCCATGTACGACGTGGAGGGTTGGGCTGGGTGTGGAGCAGACACTTCCTCTGTATATGGAACTGCCGGATTAGCCATTTATGAAGGCAGTGGCCTAGCCACGTATAGCGAGAGCTCGTACCCGTGTGGAGATGGCTCGACCACGTATACAACTGGCGCAAACATGTACGGGGCCGGCTCACACATGTACGGGACCGGCTCACACATGTACGGGGCTGGCTCAACTACACATGGAGATGGCTCAACTACGTATACAACTGGCGCAAACATGTACGGGGCCGGCTCACACATGTACGGGGCTGGCTCACACATGTATGGGGCTGGCTCAACTACACATGGAGATGGCTTAACTACGTATACAACTGGCGCAAACATGTACGGAACTAGCACAGCATACATGAACGAAGCAGGAAGCTCAGACATGTTTGCAACAGACAGTATAGCTAAGACCACGATTAGAAGTGGGCCAAGCCCCTTACTCAACACAGCCATTAAGAGCTACGACGCGACAGTACCTACGTCTACAATAACGACGGCACCTATAACTACGCTAGACGACCAAAGTCACTATATGCCCAACAGCTCTGTTGCAGACATGCCTATCTGCACAGAAGGCAGCTCAGTCGACTACGAACCAATGCTGATAGATTCTTCAAGTCAGTCGTCGTCGTTCACGCAGGCAGTGCCCATCCCTACACACACCCAAGAGTCTGATGCAGGATCGGCAAGTATCACGAGCACAGTCACTTCAGAGGAAACGGATGGCCTAATGTCACCAGAACAACTGTCTTCGTTGCTAGAGTGGAGTAGACCCTTCTTTGCTATATAATACAAGCCCCTTCCTTCCTTGCTGAATCTAGAGCTTCTGACGAGCGAGCAGCTCGTTGTAGTGTATCTATGCGCGTTAGTTGAATCCCGAATCTACAGATAGGCACTTACTAAATGAAATTGTCTTCGCCTTTTTGGTCCACAGTCGCTGGCTAGCGTTGTAGAGACTTGGGTTTTGTCTTAGCTCTGCTAACTTGCTCCGGACGGCAGTGAGAGATCGCTTGCTTTCAGCTATGCGGAAAAGAAATGTGCAGATATCGTTATGGTGGCACTTAAGAATTTCAAAGAAAAGAATAACTGCTATTTGGAGTAGGTTCCAGAAAGCGCCAGCCATGGTGTAAATGCGGATTAACGAGTGGTGTTCGTGGGACTCTAGATGCTTAAGGTGCACTATATAGCAGCATCATGAAGTGGCGTAGTAGGCAAGACCCGTTTATGGCTCTCAAACTACCGCGCTTCCTGGAGGAATCAGCGAGCGAGAGGCGCACGGCTGAACCTTTCTACTGGGCCAGGTACTGCGCCGCTCAACTGCAGAAGATTACGCCATTGAGCCCAAATCAGATTAAATACACTCTCCATGCTAAAGCTCGGACTGCACTCTCGTCTAGGAAAACATGCACACTAGCTATCTACCCCAACGAACTAATCCCATGTCTTTGCTGGGCTTCATTATCTTCTAGTGCCCTTAACTGGCTCCTCTACCTGACGACATAGCGTGTGTGCTAACGTCTTCTTAGTGTTGACTTTACTACCTAGGTTTTTATTAGCACTTAAGCCTTAGAGCACACAAAGATAGCAAAGTCAGACTGCTAAGGCCTATGCGAATAACTGACTCAGTAAACTAGTGCGTGTTGTAGTGTAGCTAATCAGCTCTATCTAAGAGAAGTGATTATCTTTAGAGTTACATAAGTGTAAGCAAGAGACGTCTAGCATGTCCCCACCTAGAGAGTAAGCCTCTCAAAATAGCCGCCACTAGGGGCGATGCCAGCTTCAGACGTGCGAGCAGAACCCACCTCCCGACACCCGCTGAGATTTTAATATCTGCTAGGTGCACCACTTATAGTAGCTTACTAGATGCTGACGTTATAATTTGCTAATATCTAAACCCTTTATATCCAGGTTTGCCACAGCCGTAGTGGAGACTAGGTTAGAAGTGCAGCTCGCTAGGTTATATTGTAGTTGGTTAGCGTGGCAGGTGTAACTGGAGCGCTGGGGCGTTTAAAGAACTTTTACTTTCTAATGCTAAGTACAATACAAATACGCAAAGCTTGCTATAATCGCTAGCTACGAGGCGCTCGTTTACGCTTACGCGTCCCCTGTGTCTGTGTTGGTTCCTGCGGCGACATAAACTTAATAACGGGAGACATAGTCTCGCGGGCAGATTGCCAGCTCTCTGTTTCTACTGCCTGCGAGTTTGGAGAGGCAGCCCTCTCGTTGTCTTGCGGCGCAAGCACCTCGATTGAATCTCCGTGAGGAGGCTTTGGCAGTAAGGTTCGGTGCTGTACTTTATGACGCTCCGCCTTGGGCGACTTTGATGTCCGTTCCTCAATCTGCTCCGGCTCTGCTATAGGCTTGGTCATCTCCGCTCCGCTATCTTTACATTGCTGTTCTGCTTGCTCGCTATTACTAGTCTCACACTTGCATGCTTTTGACTTCGCCTTCTGCTTCTCAACGACGAGTTTCCATTTATATTTCTCAATCTCGCCTAATAATACTTCACGTTCCTTGTTGAAGTTATGTTGGAGATTGTTGATGATTAGGTTCTTCTCGCTTATCCGCTGCGATACGGTGCTGATTATGTGTGGGTAGGCTTGTAGCTGATCGGAGAACTGGAGGATCAAGTGCGTTTGTCCCTGCAGATGTTCAAACAGCTGGCGATCATCGTACTGCTGGTGTAGGTGAGCCTAGTTTTCATCGTAGCAAAGGACAGCTATACATAGTATCCAGGCGACCAGCTAGTCTTGTTGTGAGAAGCCATAATAAGAAATTCTGGGCTTTGTCTACCACGTTGTAGCAAGGGCGGCGTTGCGAATTGGGAGTTAGTGGATCCGAAGTAGAGCGTGAAGAGAATAGTGTTAGCCGGGACAACAGCTCTTGCTTTAGGGCTTTAAGCAGTTTCCCCCACTTGCTGTCGCCGCCCCTATACAGATAAGGTGGAGGTGTTTCTGAAGGGCGCCGCATGCCATTCAGAGTGGTTGCCCCTAATGCTATCCAGAGTGGTTGCCCCTAATGCCAAGTAGTGCTACAATATCCCAAGTGGTGGGTCCTATCTTGAGCACTACCCTTGCTCATGCAGGCTCTGTGTTTAGCTAACGGTCGGGTTCACCAGCGCTGTGGCCGTCGCCGCCGCAGAGACTGCCGAAATAGCCCTTCGTCTCTAAACGGGCCCTTGCAGATGGCACAGGCAGTACCTGCTAGCCTTGGCAAGGTAGTAGAGGGGCTGTTTCTAGCATATCTATAAGTCTTTGAGCGGCCAGTCTTGTGTAGTTGTCAACTCGCAGACTGGTCGTGCATCATGTCTGGCTGTGCTTCTCTTCAGATGGACGACTGGACCAAGGTTTCAGACCCTGCTGAGCGCCGCAAGATACAGAACCGCATAGCCCAACGTCACTATCGTAGGTAAGAGCCGCCCTATCCTGCGCTCTCTTGCTAAGACCTGCTCAGGCTCGAAGCTTAAGAAGAGGCTTGAGGAAGCTGAGAGCATCATCGCATCGGAATCACACTCTGTCAGCGATGGTCAGCCTAAGCAGCCCCGCCCTAGAGGCCGTGCGAAGACCGCCAAAACAGGCCAACGCCGCAATCGTGCCACAGGGCCGCAAGGCCGAAGCATCGCGCCAGCGCCAGCGCCACAGCAGCAGCAGGAGCGCAAAGAAGAGTGCTCTACCGCTCTGCCGCCAGCCGTGCACTCGCTACTTCCAATATCTGGTGGAGCTGGAGGACACCCGGCGCAGGACACCAGTTCTTCCCTTCCAACCTTCTACGCCTCGACAACCATGCCAGTCAGCTCTGCCACACCACTCTCTGAATGCCTTGCACCAAATGTGTGCTACAACAATGACGACAGCCCTTTCAACGAAGGCTACCTGGCTATGAACGGGTATTGGTTGCCGGCTTAGCATCAGTATTTATAGGAACTTGGGCTTACTTAAGGGGATTATCTTGTAGATGCTGTAGCTAGAATTTTATCATCTTACGAATGCAAAGTAAAGCAACACCTCTATGCAATCAAACCGTGCTAGAATCGAAAGGCCCTGCTTGCCACTCTATAGCGAAGAGGTGTGGAGTCGTCAGAACAGCAGCCCTATGCCCATGTTCGCCTAGAGTACTAAACTGCAATCTCGCTTGAAGCGCGCTGCACCGTGACAGCGCTAAGACCCAGGACTAGCAGCTCCTTTGAGCCCCCCAACGCATCCTGCCAGGCTCTGCCGCTGTGCCGCAATGCCGCGGCTAGAGCAAGCGCCAGAGGCTGGTCGAAAGGAGGCCCACGGGGATTGGAAAACGGGGCCTCGGGCCCGAGACGTGTGGTGGCCCCTTCGCAAGTGGAGCATGTACACAACGTCGATAGACATGGCTTTACGATCCTTAGTAGGCAATTCGCCGCATGCAATCGCACGCTTGATCGCTCAGTACCCTAAGTAGCATGGGATGATGCCGAGTCGTCCCTGCGCATCCCCCCGGTGGCTCGGTCGCGCAACCCTTGTCACGTGATGCAGCGCAGCAGCCATGCTGATATAGTATGATCGCTGCCTCGCAGCCCTTCGCAGCTTGCGGTGACGCTGCCGACCATCTAGGAGAACTTTAGTGACAATGGCGTATAGAACCCTTACGCGGCGGGATGAGCCCACGGTAAGTCTAGCCAGAGTGAGACACATCGCAGTCAAGGCTCAACTAACGCTATGCGCAACGACAGAACATCTATAACCAAATCCGGCTGCTTGATGTCTACGCATCAAACTCGGCTGCTGTCGCCGGGGCTATCCGCATCGGCTTACACAACCTTTGCTACCAATCAGCAGCACTCGAGCGACAGGTAAAAGAGAAATCTCGACAAAACAAGTCCTACGTAGAGTACGCCCAAAGACTGCAGATAAGGGTGTGGGAGATGATGGAGCAACTCCGCCAGTCAAAGCTACGAGCGTTACAGCTGCAGGCGGAGCTCCAGTCTAAGCGAGTGTCTGCCACCGGGTCGAGGCAGCGCAGACAGCGCAGAAACGGCAAGAAACACAAGCCTCATGGAAGTGAGTATTGGGAAGGTCGCTGATTCCATCTTGCCTTCTACGTTAAATTGCCTAGATACTGGTCATTCTCTCTCAAGTATGAGCTATTTCCAATACAATTTCATGTACATCAAGCTTGCTACCATTGTGTGTTATTAGTGATACAGCAGTCCCTGCGCAACATGGCGCCAAACAACGATAGGTTAGAAGAATGGATATTCTCGAATATCTAGTAGCCCTCGACTACAACTCCTACTCTCTTTCAACCTCTTTTTGCAATACGTTTTGCCTACTATGCAATATGGCAATCTCATAGATGCACTACATAAGCGTCTTACATTCGCTCTTGATAGTCATGTCGAAAGTCTGCGATCTTTCATTTGATCTTCATCATATCCTAAGAATTACGATTGAGCTAAAAACACCGTTGTGCTCCTGTACTAGTAATTACTCGGTTCGCCTGCTAAAGTGCAAAACAACGAGAACCCATGCAATTGTCTAAAAACAGCTTCAGTTAACAACATTCCTGCTAACTTCTAAATTGGTATCTGAGTGGTTTTCTACTAGTCATTTCGTCCGGTCCAGAGCATGATCCTTGTGAGCTGCCGTTTCCCTTCTTAGCGACTTTGATCTATCATACTATTTTGGGCAAAGCATCAATCGTAATATGGTCTGTCTTCAATGCTCTTTTCTTGGCCGAGTTTTTTGTTAAGAAAAGCTGCTCCTGTTATCTCTTAGGTTTCTAAGGTTCTGGGCACTGGAGCATATTGTCGTACGAACTGGGAACCTTGAGCCAAGGAGATTGGAGAGGACTGGTTCAAATTCTCTGATCGATTAGATTAATGGAATTTTCAGAATATACTACTACTCCCGTCAAACCCTTCAGTATCTCTATTACTAACAAGTACCATGGATTAGGCTTTACCTGTGTTACAGATCTTGTCAATACATTAGACACATATGGCAAGCTATACATAGGCAGGCCCTGTACACCAGCTAGGCTCCATAGCCAAAGCAATAACTGAAATATCTTTTGGGTTTCTACAGTCATTTGTTAGGGTGCGCATCGTCTTGAATATACAACTTAGAGTTTTGCAGATTTAAAGATGATTTAGCGATGAACCGTCAATTCATTTCTATAGCATACCATTATGGATATTCCAAGATGCTATAGCCTGGACGTGATCCTCTCCAGCTCAAGGCCCCATCCATCCAGCCATGTTGCCAACCGCTGTTCTGTGATTTGCTCGACGCTTGGCAGAACACCTAGAGCGTTCTGGTTATGAAAGATCATGCCCTCCTGCTCTCGACCCATACCGGCCTGTTGGAGAAAGTTCCGCAATTTTGATGTTGAATTGAGGTTCTCAAGCCATTCAGGGAGACTAACTAGTTTTGCTGTTAGCCCGAACTTGCTCTTTAATGTCTCATAAAGCAGAATGGAAGGCGCTGGTTTGGGATGCATCATGTTATAGACGCGAACCTTGTTGTTACTCGGCGTAGTTGTAATTCCTGCAATGCCGTCTGCGAGTGCGTCTACAGGAATCCAGTCCAGAGCATTTATCTGGGCAGGCCACTTGCCCATTCTTTGGCTGGTTTTGATGAGAACGTATACTGAACCTTGAATAGGCCAGCTCAGTGATCGTGGTTGTGTAGAAGATGGGCCGCCAATGAGGCCAGCGCGGACAATCGTGGCACGTAGCTGGCGCTCCTCATGCGCTCGGGCTATCAATTGCTCCGCAATCTGCTTACTTTGGCCATACCCATCCCTTGTCGCACTTGCATTGTCCCATGCAGGTTCTTCGGGGAGCAGTGGCTGCTCGGGATGCAGTTTTGACCAATTTCCAAGCGCAGAGGTGGAAGATACGAATGTTAGACGGGGTTTCCGTGGGCCTGTGGTGCAGATATGTATAGCGCTACGCAAAGCGCATAGAAGTGGCTCAAAATCCTCCAGCGGAATGTTCCAGCTAGTGCTCCAAGCATTGAAGATGATTTCGTGGAACTCAGATGCTAGAAGCTCATACAGGTTGCAATCAAGCCCAAGGCGAGGTTTTGCGATGTCGGCGGTGAAGAAGGACAAACGACTATGGTGCTGATAACTGTCAGGATCAAGCTGCCTCACGACAGACATGGTTCGTTTCTCTCCGTCGCTGCATCGATTTAGACAAAGGATTTGAGATTGGTGATTCTTTTTTAGCAGGGCAGCGATGAGGTAAGGTCCCAAAAATCCGGTGGAGCCCACAACAGCGATCTTGCGAAGACTGGCTGACGTCTGGTCTGGGGAGGAGGATAGCATCTTTCAAAAAAGTTCCTTCATAGAGATCAAAAAGATAAACTCTATGGAAGAGCAATTTGTCTTGTACCAGAAGGAGGCCATGATCTTATGCATAATGGCAACCTAGTATTGTTGAACTGCCAGTGATCTCATTAGGGTACCGAATATCTGCACCAGGCATTGCTAACCCAAGTGGTTTCACAATCCCGAGTGGCCTGTTTATCCCCCATGTCTTTAAAGTTTTCATGATGATCGCGTGCCGCTGCTTCTCAGGGATTTAGTCAGGCCAAGACCTATGTTCCAGCGGGTTTATATGTTCTTAGCGAGGTCTAGCCCGACACTACTTCCTTGTCAGATACGGTCTAAGCAGCACTGCGCTACACGCTAGAACAAACCACTTGGGTTTGCTTTTCAAGCAAACAGGAAAGTTGCCCTAGCACGACGCTGTGCCGCTTATCAACACACGTAATCTGACATTAGCCAACCGCATTCCGTCAAAGCTCTCCCTGTTTGCTCGTGCCGCTTACTTAATACGTACGCAGTACAGTATAGGACAGCATGAGTCAAGCGGTCTGCGCGAAGTCAGTACTAACAAGCGCCGGCAAATATGCCATGTTCTCATGCACTTGCTCTCTCGGTTTCTGTACATACGTATGTATGCAGGCAACTTTTGATCCCATGCAAAGCCTTCGCTGAGCGGTAATATTGCCTGAGGAGTACGAGCTTTCGTCAGCGTCGCAATAGTTTATTCCTCTTTCGAGCTCGCAGACCACTCAATGCATGGTGTTTACGTAGTTTAGCCTCTAGACAAGAACAAATTAAGTTCGTCCATGCCGCGTATATGATAACAGCGAAGCCACGCGTGATTACAGTCCCACATCGTCATGCGCCACAAAGATCGTCAAGTGGGGTCACAGGCTGTTGCATATCACACCACTCTACTTCATCCGTCGAACAGTACAGTATAGTGTCATCACGAAGGCAGTCTCAAGGTGCTGTGATGCCTAACTTACAGCGAGCTTTCTGGAAAAACAACAATGGATGGCTTTTCTAACAAGTCGAACGAGGTTCGAGCGAAATGCAGAGCCCGTTGTCGCAAGAAGCTTGCACAGCACATCGGTATGGAAGTAACATCCATATAGGTGCGACTACTGACGTAGAGCAAGAGCAACAGCTAGGGTTCCGGATTGATCCCCTAGAAGTCAGGCTTATCACCAGCTCGGACGACCCTTATACGTGGAGCTACATGCCAGAGAAGGCGCACTTGTTCCAAAAACATTTGAGTAAACATACGATGGGTGCATGCGTAGAACTTTACGACGAGGTTGGCAAAACATTTGAAGCAGTTCGTACAGCTGCTGCACCGCATGATATATTTGATTGCCAGACAGAGGTAGACGTTAGCTTTACAAGCACGATCAAGCAGTTGGAGCAGAATTATGCATTACTGCAGCAAGAACATAATCGGGTAGTCGAGGCGTGCGAGCGTTGGCAAGCACAAGCAACGAAGAATGGGCAGCTCAGAGAGAACATGGAAAATGAGCTTGCGGCCAAGAAGACCGACCTGGAGTCCGCCTACTCTGTAATTCGAGACTTGCGCCGGCAGTTGGAGAAGTTACAGGGACAGAAGGCTAGTTCTGTGCAACAACTTGACGAGATTTCCAAGATGCTGAATAACATCAGATCTGGATTGTGTACTGTTGCTGAACCTGTTACCACGTGACAATATGATTATGCGTAAAGACTTTCTATCCTAGAATACTACCTAGCTGCACCTAAATGCCTAACAGATAGACACGCTAACTTAGTGCGTATATCCATAAGGCCTGAGACAAGACAGTTGCACTTCGGACCTTCGGAAAATTGAAGAATTGAATCAATAAAGCTGTGTTGTAACTATCCACCTAGTTCCATACTATTGCTGCTTCAACAGGACAGTCTCCGAGCAAGATCTCTGTAAAATTGAAAGTGTCCTCTATCTTTCCCTCAAGACTGGTAGTTGGCCCTTCATTGTTTGACTCCATCTCTATCACATATTGGGATGTCTGCAAAAGAAGCACAAGCATCAAAGAGACTTTTCGCGAAGTCGAAAGCTATTCTATCGTCAAGACCGCGGATTCGGGAAGTCTTGCCTTGCAGAGAAGGAAACGCAGAAAAGCGCCCCAGCGTGGCGAAATGCTTCCAGCGTTGTTCTGTAACGTCCATCCCTGTGGGTCGAACATCCCTCCGCAACGAACCACCAACACTGCCCAAGCACCTTACGCCCAAGCTGCAGAGGCTCTTAGACATGAATACACATTTGTATGCTTGCTAGATCTATCTCTATCTATCGCAACCCTTAAATAGTAAAATTACAGCGATCTAAGGGGCATACGTGAGTCTTTCGTGTTAAGCGTGGGAAGGTGCAACGCCAAAACACCCCTGTCCTACCTCTTACACAAGCTCTACTTGCCTATTCGGAGATTATATATAACTTGGAGTAAGCTAAAGAATCTTTAGCTATACTGTAAAGATATGCAGCCTCTCTTCAGATATGCCCCGAGTTTTTCCGGCTCGGTGTGCCAGTCCTTCGCATTAGCGAAAGAATTTAAAACGCTGGCACAGCTGGATTGCGAGCGCTTAGCGGCCTACGATGTACACCTGCGCTATACCAAAAGGGCTGAAGCTGTGGCGCAGAGTTCTAGAAGCTTCTATCGGGTGCTGCGTGTTGCTGGCTATTCTTAGAAGCAGACCGGTGGTGGATTCGGTTGGCTTCTCGCTCGAGGTATCCCTCAGTCACCACAACCACGAACATGGATCTAGCCAGCCAGGCACTCGCGCAACGTCTGCCTGAAGGTGTGCGTGATACATGTGCTGCTCGATCAGAGCACGGCGATGTCCCTGTCTCAACTCTGATCCACCGTAGGCTTGGACGACGCTCGCGAGCAGAGCAGGCTCAGAATCAGCAGTACTTGACTCGAGAGGAGGAGAAGGCGCTTGTAAAGTTCCTGCTACTAATGTCTAGTCTCGGACAACCTGTGCGCGTTAAGTACCTTCGCTCGCTAGCGTTCAGCATAGCCCGCCAGCGGTCCACAAAGAGCGAGTCGATCAAGCGTCCAGGGAAGAACTGGCCACGAGCGTTCGAGAAGCGTCACCCCGAACTCCAGGCAAGAAGGGTCAGATCGATAGACTGGAAGCGTCACGGAAACAATATACACAAGAAGATAGTAGAGTGGTTCAATGTGATTGGCCAGGTGCTACAGGATCCATGCGTACTGCCAGAAAACGTGTACAACATGGACGAAACTGGAGTCATGCTAAGCATGCTTGGCTCCGCAAAAGTCTTAGTCGGCAAGGACAATCGGCAAGGTAGTAGGGGTGCGGGTGTCAAGCGCACTATGGTTACTGCTATTGAGTGCATCAGTGCTGACGGAAGGGCCCTCCTGCCACTTATCATATGGCCAGCTTCGACCCATCGCAGTAACTGGACCACCCACAGCACCCCTGGATGGCACTATGCGCACTCAGAGAATGGGTACAACGACTCTAAGATTAGCTTGGAGTGGCTCAAGCGCGTGTTTGACCCCCAGACACGTGAGGGAGCAGGTGGAAACCCACGAGTGCTAATCTGTGATAGCTTTGGGACGCATGAAACGCTCGAAATCCTAGAGTTCTGCTTTACTAACAACATTATCTTGTGTCGTCTGCCTTCTCACACCTCTCACAAGCTGCAGCCGTGCGATGTCGGCCCTTTTGCACCTTTAAAGAGCGCGTATCGTGAACAAGTCGAGCGACTCAACCAAGGAGGCGTAGATATTGTTGGCAAAGAGCATTTCGCTTATCTCTATAGCCCTGCAAGAGATCGCGCGCTGACTAAAAGGAATATTAGAGCTGGGTGGTCTGCAACTAGGCTGTTCCCTTTTAACCCGGAACGAGTGCTCAGAGATGTCCCTAAACCTCCAGCGGAAGTAAGCAACATATCAAATGTAGAAACCGAGAGTGCGAATGCTGGGGTGTTGGGCGATGTGCCCCGTACGCCTACCACGCCAGTAACACCAGTGACGACAGAAGCGCTTACGTCGCTGCATGATCTAATTACAAAGGACACACACGTGCTTGAAAAGACGAGCAAAGACCGTCTACAGAGACGCATACAGAAACTAGCAAGCGCAGCTAAGGTATCCTTCGCTGAGCAGGCCCTCCTTAAAGATCGTAATCATTTCCTCCTTTAGATCAATCGAGAAGCTAAAACCCGCCGGTCGACAAAGTCGGTAGTTCTAGGTAAGGCTAAGGTGATGAGTTTTGAAGACCTCGAAAAGACTAGAGCAAAGCGTGCTGCGAAGGAGCAAGCTTTAGCAGGCAAGCCGAAGCGCGGGCGCGGGTGCAAGCGCAAGAGCGATGCGCTAGAAGGATCAACGGTCCTACGGTCGCCAAAGCCCACAGTAACGCAGCGGATCGATGCGCCTGAGCTAACGCATGCGCCGGTATCTGCATGGAGAGCGCCTGTAGCTAGGATGTACTAGACCCCTTTCTCTAGCTCTGTATGATGGATTTCACGGCGTTGCGCAAGCTGGATAGAAAGGGTATTTTAAGCCAAATTTAAACCTAGATGATGATCACAAATGTTGTATCTACGTGACTGCTCTCTCATTTGTCCTGCATCAGAACGGGCAAGCTTTGAGCGCGTCGGTGCTTAGACCCTTGCCAACAGGGGCAGACGCGCTTCAGCCTTGTGAGCAATGCACGGCGCATGCATAGCACGCCTTACATACCCCGCCTGGGGCTTCACACAGGCTTCAGCACCAAGTCAACAACACAGCGAGAGCCGGCAGCCTCAACTCACGACATCTTGACGCATCACAGGATCCTGGTGGCACCTTAGCTAGTGCACCTGCTCGTCATTCTCTCTGTATACTGACCGTCCACCGGTATCTAGCAGGAAAGCAGCTGACAAGCAACAAGCGCCCGCGCGATTAGGCTACCAAATTCAACCTTTCGAGTCCTACTCTCATCGCATATACCTACTATAAATCCATACGAATCTATGCGGCTCTTACAGTACAGCGAAAGCGGAGAGCTCAGCATCCACAGCTTCGACGATGGCGACATACCCCCTTACGCGATACTCTCACACACCTGGGGCGCAGATGGCGACGAGGTGACCTTTGCAGACCTCCAGACAGGCGGCGGCAAGGCAAAGCCGGGCTATAAGAAGATCATCTTCTGCGGAGGACAGTCACGGCGCGACAGCCTCCAGTACTTCTGGATCGACACGTGCTGCATCGACAAGGCCAATAAGGCTGAACTTGCCTTCTCTATCCGATCGATGTTTCGCTGGTACCGCGATGCAACTCGGTGTTATGTATATCTATCGGATGTCTCTGATCAACCTCTACCAGTGACGTCAGACGACCAAGATTTACGATGGCTTTTATGGTTCTGGATGTTCTCTATTCTCTATAGTATGTCGAGATGGTACGGTAGCACGATGCAGCGCTACTTCTATTCGCGCAATGTTCTATGCACTTCAGTCGGTAGCGATCCTGTACGAAATAAGCAGAAAGCTGAGCTTGCGCTTAAAAACAGCAGATGGTTTACCCGTGGATGGACGCTGCAGGAGCTTCTCGCACCGTCTATAGTAGAGTTTTTCTCTAAAGAAGGGACCAAGCTTGGTGATAAATTATCGCTAGCGAAAGAAGTGTATGAAGTTACAGGTATCTCTAGTCCAGCGCTGCAAGGTGAACCGTTGTCTAACTTTAGCGTTCATGAACGCGTTACCTGGATTGAACATCGCACTACAACGATTCCAGCAGACCGTGCATACTCCCTGATGGGTATTCTCGGTGTCAGCTTGTCCCCAATCGATGGCGAGAATCTAGCTGAAGCAATGAAGCGGGTTCTATACGAGGTTGACAAGCAGAACAAGTTTATCCAAGACTTATGTCCTAGTAACCCGCGCGATGATAAGAAGCGGATCGAAGAGACTAAGGGCGGGCTGCTTGCGGGCGCTTACCGCTGGGTCCTTGACAACAATACCTTCCAGCAGTGGCAGCAAGACCCAGAGAGCCGACTACTGTGGGTGAAAGGTGATCCTGGCAAAGGCAAGACGATGCTGCTGTGTGGCATTATCGACGAACTGCAAAACTTGACGCCGAAACCTACCCTTTTTCGTACTTTTTCTGCCAAGCGACTGACACGCGTATTAATAGTGCCACAGCTGTGCTGCGGGGCTTGCTATACATGCTTATGCATCAGCAGCCGTCGCTTGCATCGCACGTTCGCGGGAAGCACGACTACGCAGGCAAAAGCTTATTCGAGGACGCGAATGCCTAGGTCGCCCTAACGAAAATCTTCACGGATGTGCTGCAAGATACAAGCCTAGGCATGACGTACCTGATTATTGACGCGCTCGACGAATGCGCGACAGACTTACTAAAATTGCTCAGCTTTATCGCGAAGCAGTCGTCTGCGTCCTCTCGCGTCAAGTGGATCGTGTCTAGTCGCAACTGGCCAGATATTGAGCAAGAACTAGAGCGTGCTGAGCACGAAATGAGGCTCAGCCTTGAGTTAAACGCTGAGTCGGTGGCTGCAGCAGTAGATGTGTTTATCCGGCAGAAGGTGTGTCGCCTAGCCCAAGAGAAGCGCTACACGCCAGAGGTGCAAGACGCGGTGCTCCAGCACTTAACGTCGAACGCGAACGATACCTTCCTCTGGGTTGCGTTGGTGTGCCAAGACCTTAAAGCGACGCCGAAGTGGGACGTGCAAGAGAAGCTAGCCCAGTTCCCGCCTGGTTTAGACTCACTTTATAGGCAGATGCTAGACCAGATACGCAAGTCTAGTAGTGCTCGAAGATGTCTGCGGGTGCTGGCAGTGGCTGCTGTCCTATATCGACCAGTCACAGTTAGTGAGCTAGTTATATTGACTAAGCAACTTGCAGACCTTGTTAATGATCTAGAGTCCGTGCGGGAGATTATCGGTCTCTGCAGATCATTCTTAACGCTGCGAGACGATACGGTGTACTTTGTACATCAATCAGCTAAGGACTTCCTTATCACAAAAGCGTTAAACGACGTCTTTCTAGATGGTATAGAATGTGTGCATCAAGATATCTTCGCAAAATCACTTGTAATTCTGCACAAGACACTGCGTAGAGATATATACAACCTTCAAGCGCCTGGATATGCTATAGAAGACGCCAAGCCACTTCTTCCCGATCCTCTAGCCGCGTCGCGCTACCCATGTGTGTACTGGATTGACCACTTCTGCGACTTAAAATCTAGTGCTACTAATCAAGAAATCACTAGGGCTATAGACGCATTTCTTGAGCAAAAATATCTCTACTGGCTAGAAGCGCTCAGCTTGTGCAGAAGCATGGCCAAAGGGGTAGTCTCGATGACAAGGTTATGGGATCTAGTCCAGGTACGGCTAATACAACTACATCTATACACGGCCTTCACGGTGTAGTTACTAACGTAGCTAGGGACTTGGAGACACGGACGTATTGAACAAGATCGTGTACGACGCACGACGGTTTATTATGTATCATAAGGAGGCGATCGAGAACTATCCTTTACAGGCATACGCATCTGCTCTGCTGTTCAGTCCAGCTAATAGCATAGTAAGAAGGCTGTTCCAGCACGAAGAGCCAAGAGGAGTAACGATCAAGCCCGCTATGAGCAACGGCTGGAGTGCGTGTCTGCAGACACTCGAAGGTCATAGCAGTGGTATTACGTCGGTGACCTTCTCGCACGACTCAACCCGGCTAGCGTCAGCGTCAGAGGACAGCACTGTTAAGATCTGGGACGCGAGTAGTGGGATGTGTGTGCACACACTCCAGGGCCATGACGATGCTGTTGTGTCAGTGGCCTTCTCGCACGACTCGACCCGGCTAGCGTCAGCGTCAGAGGACAGAACTGTCAAGATCTGGAACGTGAGCAGTGGGATGTGTGTACACACGCTCGAGGGCTATAGTGATAGTGTTCGCTCGGTGGCCTTCTCACATGACTCGACCCGGCTAGCGTCAGCGTCAGGCGACAGCACCGTCAAGATCTGGGACGCCAGCAGTGGGACATGTAGGCACATACTTGAGGGCCATAGTGGTTGGGTTACCTCGGTGGCCTTCTCGCACGACTCGACCCGGCTAGCGTCAGCGTCAGCCGACAGCACTGTCAAGATCTGGGAGGCGAGTAGTGGGATGTGTGTGCACACGCTTAAGGGCCATAGCTATGGTGTTAGTTCGGTGGCCTTCTCGCATAACTCGACCTGGCTAGCTTCATCATCTTGGGACGACACTGTTAAGATATGGGACGTAGGCAGCGGGACGTGTGTGCACACGCTCGAGGGCCATGGCCATGGTGTTAGTTCGGTGGCCTTCTCGCACGATTCAACCCGGCTAGCGTCAGCATTAAATAACAGCACTATTAAGATCTGGAACGTGAGCAGTGGGGCTTGTGTAAACACACTCGAGGGCCATAGCGATATTGTTCGCTCGGTGGCCTTCTCGCACGACTCGACCCAGCTAGCATCAGCTTCAGACGACAGCACCGTCAAGATCTGGGACGCGAGCAGCGAGATGTGCCTACATACCCTTGACGTTGGCATATCCCTCTTGCACTTGTCTTTCGATTTTACTGGTACTTTACTCTATACAGAAATAGGCACTATTAGTATCTCTAGTTCCCAGGTCACGAACCCCATCAACGTTGCAGCATCAAAACTTCAGTACCAGGGTACGAGTATAAATTCTGGTGGCAACTGGGTTATCTACGCGGGTAGCAATATGTTATGGATACCTTCTGAGTATCGACCGTCAAGCTCGGCTGTAAGTGAGACCCAACTAGGCATGGGAGTAGGATCAGGAAGGGTCTGGCTTTGTCAGCTAGTCTAGATGAGCAGTCGAGGGTAAATGGAAAGATTTTTCTCAATATTGTGCCTCTATGCTTATTCAAAAGTTGATGTATTTAGGACTTATTACCTGATAATGCATGTGATATTTATCTTACAGTAACTATCTGTTCCCAGCTAATCTCTAAGGATAGGCAGCAAGCAACTGCGTACATAAGTAGTGGCTAGACGAAGCCTCTCAAGCTTTGCGCCACAGCTCGAGTCGTTTTGGTATAGCGCAAGTGTATAATGCAGGCCGCTAACTAGTTATTCGAAACCTGCTGTGTCAGCACGCTAAGCCCTAGTGCCTGGAGCGAACGAGAGTCGCATTGAGCCGGAGAAAGTCGGAATACATGCAAACAGAAGCTGCGCATGTTCTACGAGCAAAATTATATCCTTTAGCTGATCATGTATTATAAGGACGCGCCGAAGGATGGAGAGATAGTGCTGCGTGTGAAAGAGCAGGGGTGTTTTGTCGTTGCAGCTTCTTTGCGTAAGACAAAAAGCTAAAGAACACTGCCTATAATGCTGTAATTTTGCTGTATAGAGCATGCCATAGGTAGAAATAGATGCAATAAACAAAGCCTTATTAGCTTGACCCTATACAACTGTGCAACGTAGGGATAACATGGTTGAGAAATGTTCGTGGTTCGTTGCGGGGGGATGTTCGACCCACAGGGACGGACGTTAGATAGATCTAATGTGCTCGGAGGGCAAAAACACTACACATAGCGAGAACTTGATTTTTGGAATTCAGTCGTATTTTCGCACTCAAACGGACGCTTTTGACGCCAATTGACTAGCCAGCACTCAGCCGTAGCGCCCACTGCGACTGACGTGCCATGGCGACACCGTGGCCTCAGCAGCCCGCATGGCCAACACCATTCCGCGAGCATGCTACACGCCTCAGCACCTACCTTCAGGACGCGCTAACTTGCATCGATCGCACTCAAAGCCAGCCCGTACCGGCAGACCTTGTCAAGATCATCATCCATGGCACCCTGACATTCATACTGAAAGTGCAACACGCCCCCGACCTCAGCACGGTATGCGACGCGCTTAGCATCCTGCAAACTGAGGCTAAAGCGACCTCGGATAACACCACGCGAATGCTCGACGCTGTCAAACAAGAACTTAAGACCGAACTTAAAAATACAACCGACACTATCCACACAATCGCTGCAAACGTACAACTAAACATAAGGGCTGGAGAAGAAGCAAAGACAGCAGCCAAGGAGGCGGCAGAGGTAGGTAAAGCCAGCCTAGAGATGGCAAGACGAATCAAAAATGCAGGACCACAGACAGGTGGCACGCTCAGCTATGCTGCGATGGCAGCGAGGGGCGCGACGCTAGCAGGTACATCGAATACACAAGTTCCTAGAATGCCTTCTTCTCAGACGCAGCGTGAAGTCGTCGTGACTATTAGAGACCCCAATACAGTACAAAGCCTGCGGGCGATGAACCCGCGCAACCTCAATGCGCACGTAGAGCGCGCCATCGCGCAGAGCGGAAATGAGAATATAGCTCGCATCAAGGTACTCTCTTCAAACCAGCTAAAGAGCGGCGACCTTAGCATCAAGACAGCCACCAGCACTGATATAGAAGCACTAAAGCAGTTCGCCGACGATTGGGTCCACCGCGTCGGCAACAGGGCTACCCTACGGATCACGACCTACGGCATCATTGCACACAGCATACGCACTAGCACAATCGACATGACTAGGTTCGAAGAGACGAGAAATCAGCTACTGCTGGACAACAAGCCGTTCATCCCGCAGGCAGAAATCAAGTACATAGGATGGCTAACACGCAACGCACCCACGAAAGCCGCCTCTAGCGTTATTATAGAGTTCAGCAAGCCAGAAGACGCCAATAAGATTATCGACGAGGGTCTAATCTGGCAGGGCGAGGTCTTTCAGTGCGAGCGATACGAGCGACAGTGCCGAGTGAAGCAGTGCTTCAAGTGCCAACACTATGGCCACATAGGAACCCAGTGCAAGGCAACAATCGCATGCGGCTACTGCGCGCAAGAACACGAGAGTCGAGACTGTCCGTCGAAGCTTGACCGGACCATCCCCAGGAAGTGCGCCACCTGTCGAGGCGAACACGAAGCATGGAACTACCAGTGTCCTACTAGGAAAGAGGAGAGAGCGAAAGCGAAGGCTGCATACGACACACGCCCATACTACCACCCGGTTGCGGAGACAGGAGGGAGAATTCCACTAGAAGAACCAGTAACCGCCACCCGAAGGAGCAGACCCACGCAAGCCGCTGTGTCGACGCAGCCAACACCAATCACCAGGAACCGATCCCAGACCGGACGAGGGCAGAAGAGGACCAACGCTGGAACCACCGTTGACCCAGCAGAGCAACAAAACCCGCCGACACAGGCGAGCGGCAGCCAAAGGCCACAGAGGCACATCATGCCCACCCGGAGGGCTATGGAAGCAACCGGGAACAGCACGCGGCGAACACAGGGCGGCAACAGCCAGCACATGGAAATCGACTCTGACAACGAAGCATGAATAGACACAATAGACTAAACATATTACAGTACAACGTACGCAAGTCAAGAGACATGGTCATGGCATCATTACTACGTGACCCAGGGATCTACGACTTCGACATTATCGCTATTCAAGAGCCGTGGAAAAACCCATACACAACAACCACACATCACCCAGCCAAGAACAAGTTCCACCTTTGCTACCCAACAAGCCACACAGGAGAAATAGCTAGAGTCTGTTTCTTTATTAACAAGAAGATAGACCAACTAGGATGGCGCTTTGAGGAACGAACTAGAGATATCTGCTCTATAATTATAGACCTAAAAGACGACCAGCAACAACAAGAAAGACTGGTCATCCATAACGTCTACAACCCGCCGAAGACCTCGAGCAACCGACAGAGCGTACTACCACAGGTACGAGAAGCGTTAAGACAATATCATACGGACGAACAAATACTGCTTGGTGACTTCAATCTCCACCATCCTCTATGGGGAGGGCTAAATAGAGAGGTCGCCGATCTTGAGTCAGAAGACCTGATAGACATTATAGGAGACTGCGCACTCCATAACACTCTCCCACCAGGAACGGCCACATACGAAGAAGGCCGCTCGCAGTCCACGATTGATCTCTGCCTCGTAACAACAGGACTAATCGACAAAGTTATTAAGAGCGAAGTAGATAGAGGTCTAGACCACGACTCAGATCACCTGCCAATAAGCACAACGTTAGACCTTACATTGCAACAGCTCAAGAAGGAGCCGCGCAAAGATTGGAAGAGACTAGACGAGAAAGCGTACACGAAAGCGCTAAGACACGCCTTACCTCCGCTTCGAAGACCGCTCACAAAGGCAGCGCTCGACGCATACACGGGTGAGGTGACAGCCGCAATTCAGAACGCGATACACAAGGCAGTGCCGGAGACTCAATCCTCTACCTACACCCGGGAAGGATGGACTGAGGAATGCAGAGCAATCCTAACTGAGACAAAACGACTAAAAAGGGTACACAGTCAGTACCGCACGGAAGAGACCTGGGAAGCGTACCGCGCCGCAAGGAACCACAAAGCGAGAACAATTAGCAAAGCCCTACGCAAAGCACACAGAAACCGCATAGAGCAAGCGACAGAGTCACCAGACGCGCTGTGGAAGCTAGCGAGGTGGGCACGTACGAGGCATGACCAGTCAATTGGATCCATACCAACAATACAGCACCCTGACACCCGATGTGAACTAGAAGACCCAGCAGAAAAGGCTGAGCTGTTTCGAGACGTCTTCTTTCCACCGCCACCCGAAGCAGACTTGGGAGACATAGAGAATGCTACATACGCAGGCCAGATTGACATGCCACCAATCGAAGAAAAGGAGGTACGGACAGCCATTCGAGCAGCATCGCCCCTCAAAGCTCCAGGTCCGGACAGGATCACGAATAAGGCGCTGCAAGCCGGGATCGACCTAATAGCAGTCCATCTAACGAGGATCTTTAACCAGAGTCTGCGACTAGGATACTGCCCAAACTCATTTCGAGCGTCCATCACAGCTGTCCTCCGCAAACCCGGCAAGACCAACTACGCAGTGCCCAAGGCATACCGTCCCATCGCGCTACTCAACACCATTGGCAAGGTTATGGATGCAGTGATAGCCCGGAGACTGAGCTACTTAGTAGAAACCCACCACGTGCTACCGCTGACCCACATGGGGGGAAGGAAGCACCGATCCACAGAGCACGCACTACACGCTATTACGGCGAAGATCTATGAACGGTGGAACAGCGGAAAAGACGGCCAGGTAGCCAGTCTCTTGCTGCTAGACGTGACTGGAGCCTTCGACAACGTATCTCACAAGCGGCTGCTCCACAACCTACGAAAACGCAAGGTCGACGAAAGGATAGTGCGCTGGATAGCAAGCTTTCTAAGCGATAGACACACCTGCATTTTAGTCGACGGGTATAAATCCAAAGACTACGAGATAAACACAGGCATCCCCCAGGGCTCGCCACTCTCCCCTATACTCTATCTCTTCTACAACGCAGACCTAATCGAGCAGTGCAACAAGCAGGCGGACGCTATGTCAGTAGGGTATATTGACGATGTTGCTATCCTTGCCTGGGGCAAGACTACAGAACGAACGTGCGAAGTGCTAGGCACAGTACTAGAGAAAGCACAGCGATGGGCAACGACACACGCATCAGTCTTTGCCCCTGACAAATTCCAGCTAACTCACTTCACAAGATCACGCAAACGCATCAACGTCGATGCGCCCATCCAGACAGAGTGGGGCGAGATAAAGCCGTCACCAACTTGCAAGTACCTCGGGCTAACCCTGGACAATAAACTAAAGTGGAGAGAGCAAGTAGAGACGATCAGACAGAAGGCAACACGCACAGTACACATGCTGAGTAGCCTCGGCAGCTCCACCTGGGGCGTCCGTATGCAAGACATGCGCAGACTGTACGAAGCCATCGCACTCCCACAAATGCTGTACGCTTGCTCCATCTGGTCCAACGCCAACCTCAACGACAAGAAGCGCGCCTACACACACAAGACGATAGATGCCCTGCGCAGCATCCAAGCAAGAGCAGCGAGAAGTATATGCGGAGCCTACAGAGCAACCTCAAGGGCAGCACTTGACGTAGAAACGTTTCTCCTTCCAATCGAACAGCAGATCTGGAAGCACAACGCAGACGTTATTACTCGACTATCTTCGTCTAGAGACATCGCGAAAACCGCAGGCTTTGAGCCGAAAGAACTGGCGCTAGTAGCCACTGACAAGAACTACAGGGCACACAAGAGTCCTTGGCAGAAGGTATACGAGGCACTGAGGAGCAAGCAAGTGCGTGATCTAGACAAGCAAGAGCATATCCCGCCATTTATCACGCCCCCATGGCAGCGGGGACCGCACACCCACATCGACGGCAATGCAGACAAGGCCCGAGACCGCCACGACGCAGAGTGTGCAGCAGCCAACAGCCTCAGCATCTACACCGATGGCAGCGGCATCGACGGCGAGATTGGCTCCGCAGCGGTATGCCCACTCACACAGCAGACACTGTCTGTACACATGGGGCCAAGCAGCCTGTCGACAGTATACGCCGCGGAGCTGCAAGGCATCAGTTTGGCACTACAGATCGCGCGGAGATACGCAAACGAGTACAGTGAACGGAAGAGTATAGCCATATACACGGACAACCAGGCCGCTATATGGTCTATAGCCAAGGCGGAGGGACGATCTGGCGCCTACATCCTCGGAGAGATCGCGCAGCAGGTCCAGGAGCTCCAGGACAAAGGACTAACCGTGACTGTTCGATGGATACCGGCCCATGTAGGAATCCCCGGAAACGAGGCCGCCGACCAGGCTGCCAAGGAGGCTACTGGATGGAGAGAGGACGGCCGCAGCCAGCCACCAGCAAACCCGCCCTCGCAGCTGCACCCACTCAGAACAACGCTCAGAAGGTGGTGCAAGACACAGGCAGAAAGGGCTTGGATCAGCGCATGGAGGGAAGACAAGACAGGCCGCGCGACATACAGACACACGCCGACGCCCACCAAGAAAGTGCTGCAGCTCCACGAGAGGCTCAGCAAAAGGGAAAGCGCGCTGTTGGTGCAGCTGCGAACCGAGAAGATAGGCCTCAACGACTTTCTTTTCAGTCGACACGTCCCGACCATTACCAACCCCCGCTGCAGCTGTGGAGAGAGGCGGCAGACCGTCGCCCACGTCCTCCTCCGCTGCAGCAAGTACAAGGACCTCCGGAACCGCATTTTCGCCAACCTATCCGGACGAAACAGCCTTAGGAAGATTCTGAGCACGCCACAGCTAGCCACTAAAGCTATCGAGTATATGGAACAGACGCAGATCCTTGGGCAAGTGGGGATCAGAGATGAGTAGACGACGCCGAGCGCTGGGGGGAGACTGTAGGTACAGCGGACGCGACAGACGAGGCAGCGAGCCTCTACGAGCCTAGAAACACAGCATGCAATTAGTAGAACCGTTATCTAGATGGCCGGGCAAAGCATATAGATGATGGTTGATGGAAGACGGCAGGTTGCTGGGGACAGATGGTCTCTCTCGAGGGATGAAGTGGGGCGGCGCGGATCAACGTCCGCACCGCGTCCGCTGTCTGCCACTCCTGTCACTCCGGGCATAGCTGCGCAGCACGCGGCTGAAACCGAGTAGGAGTCAATAAATAAATAAATAAATAAATAAATGTGCTCGGAGGATTAAAGTCGCTCGATATCAGAGTACTTGCAGTTCATCTCGCAATAGAGACACGTTGTTCAACAGAGACTACGAACAGAGAGAATCTACACTTATGGGTCCAGGCATACGCACTGGTATAACCAAGCAAGCTGGTCGTGCAGAAACAAGGACCTTGCTAGCCAGATCCATCAACACTCTGCCTCAACGCCCGTACTTCAGCCTCCAACATCTTCATCCTATCCCTCACTTGGGCCGCGTCGCCTGCGCTGGCTTGCCTATGCTCTTCTGCCCATTCTGTAAAGCGCTTCAAGTACTGCTCCACGTTTGTTTGCACCTCGATCCATTGCCTGCACCCGCGTTAGAGATCCAAACTTAGTTATCATGAGCTTGAGCGCACTTAGGAATATCGATCAAACTACGCGTCCATGTTAGAGGTATCTGCACGATGATGATAGGATGGGCACTCACTCTTGTGGCGGCTCTGGAGGGACCTGCTGCAGCTGCTGCAGGGCTAGCTCCAGCTCCCTAATCCTCTCATCCTGCTTGTTGAGTCTCTCTTCGTTGTGCTGCGTTTGCTCGCGATCGAGCTGCAGACTCATTCCAGGCTCTGTTCCAGACTCAATCACCGATCCGGCACCAGACTCGAGAAAGCAAGGCACGTCATTTAAGATCGACCTCTCCAGCTCGTCGCGTAAACTGATATGCAGAGAATTTTGTATAGACAGCGCTACGTTTGTGTCAAATAGATTTGCGTCTTGGCTCATGACGGCTGGTTTTGTGTGCTGGTGGATAGGCGGCGATACCTCGTTGCGGTAGAAGGATTCTGCGTCGATCCTTTGTTGGGCCGGTGCATAAACTGGAAAGGCCGGCAGAGACTCGACGCCTGCATAGTCGAGATCTGGGGTGGGGGAAGAAAAGCTAGTATCTGTAAAATGTGAATCAAAGTCAATACCCTGGTCAACTGGTAGTGCAGGGTAGTCGAGCCATAAAGGCTGCTGGTTGTCAGTCATCTGGATAGTCGAGGTAGTGCTTGCTTCTTGGGCAACAGTAGGTAGACCAAAGCTAGCCAACACGTCACTTTCATCAGTGCATGTGTGCGTGCTGGCATTGAGAGCATATCCTGGAACTTGTTGCCCATTGCCGTAGTCGTACATCCAGGAATCTTCTGAGCCGAGCATGATCACAGTTTCACGATGCGACAATCTGAAGCGGGAGTGTAGCGAAAGTGAATGGTGCTGGCTACTTGCAGACTAAAGTATCGAGCGCTCAAGCTATCATGGGCAGCAAAGGCTATGTTCGACCCGCCCTTTTTTGCGGGCTCCGCTAATAATGGCCGTCCCAAAATGCGACACTGACAGCTATGTTTGCAGACTCGTGACACAAAATGGGACGTGTCTCCACAGATGGACGCTGTAGAACCGGGCGCAGCAGTTGCTGTCTCGCGAGATATTATTAGGTAGTTATACTGAGGAGATTACTATCATACTATCTGACCAGTGATATGTGTGGCATGAGTGTAGTGAGCTGCTGCGTCTTAGTGGCGCTGTAACTTAGTCATCGCGAGCTGACTACTGAAAAGTGTGCTTTGTTATGCCCTGCTATAACTGAGGCTTTTCTTAGATTATAGTCCCACCGCGTTACATAGCTACATGCAGTATGATAATACGCTGCAAAACTAAGGATCACGTATGCGTTCACGAGGCATAAAAGGGCCCTTGCTCGGCAGGACACATTGATGAGGCGACACTTGGCTTCTTTGCTGCCCGGCAGCTGCAACACGGGAGGCGGTTTTGGGCCCACCAGTTCTATCGGAGCGCTGAAATGAGCTCCTACATGTTGCTTGATTGGAAGTGGCGGTCATGCCGCCGCGCACCAGACAGGATATATGGAAGCAGCTAGGTATACCTATAAGACCATAAAAACCACCTTACATGCTCTTTCCTCAACGTGAATATATTTTCATCACACGAAATCAGTTCTTCCGGTCTTGAAGCGATGGCTGTGATGAGCCTGGCGTCACGTGACCCTAAAGCGGTCGCAACCACTCGCAGACATTTACAGATTGATCTCGATAACCGCAAGTTGTTGCGGGTATTCTTCTCACTAGATTACACTAGCATGCTAGTTGCTATCGAGATGATTGCTGATGGAACTATCAATTCCACCCACTTCTTTCATAAACCTCCATGCCAAGTGGGGATCGACTCTGCAACCAGCGCACAGGTTCCATATTTCGTTTCTTTCCTAGATTATCTCATAGAATTCTACACGCGGTACTTTCCTCCCTCGAAGCAGCCAGAGGAAGATCTCATAGATGATATCGAGATCATCTTCATGGTGCTCTCTGCATGTTGCAGTTATCAAGCAGATATACAGATCAGAGAACTAGCAAACGATCCAGATATTATTGCGAACATTTGGCACGTTTTTGCGCAGCGGTTAAAGAATCTTCCACTTGATGTTACGCAGTATCCTCTACCAATACAGATATGGGTAGATAAAACCTTCATGAGGGGTCTGGAGGAACTCGAGAGACTACCGCCATCGATGATAAGAGCTGCAAGCGCTTCAAAACTTGCAGGCTCAGCACACACGCTCGCCAAACCAAGAGAGCGGCGTATAGCCTTTTATCGCTTATTTGAAATCTTACTTTCCACACCCAATATTGGTCTAATACGGAAAGCAGTGCTATCGATTAGACATTTGGAACACCTCACGGACCTGCGTCCGAACTCCTTTGGCACTATCGCATGGCGTTTGATAGATAAGACTTACAAAACAGCTTCGTTCCAGATATATCGCGCCGTGATAAAAGCTATTGGCGAGCTGATAGGCTATGATGAGATAGTTGTGGAACAATGGTACAATGAATGCTGGTCTCGAGCCCACCCGGAACCTTGGGCACGCCGTCGTTACGGATCAACTTATCGATCACGGACGTAGTATCGATCACGTGTATTGGATTAGACGAGGTTTTGTTTTCAGTAGTATCTCCGTCTTTGGGAAACCGGGTTTAGTAGGATCGAGCCTCTCCCGTGCGATTAGTTAAAGCTCACGGTCCCTGTTCAGGTATATTCGCTGGAATGTCACTCATTCTTTGGGCGGTTGTGGTTGCAAGTCCATGATAATCACGAAGGTTGCACTGGTTGCATAGATAATTAGACAGCATTTACAATGTATATGACTTTGGGCGATTACTTTAGCCATTACAAGCACATATTAATATATTTAATGATAACGACCAGAAATCTAAGTATCTAATACTGCTTTAGCATGTTTAGTAATACTGTCATCAGGCTAGGGAACATATTCCTGTTCCGAGACACGGAAGAAGGTTGCATAGTCATGATTTATTTCTCGGCGCGTGACACAAGATTGTAACAGTGAAACACAAAGCAGTCAACAAGGCTTAAGAAGTATAAGTTGTATGATATAAACACGCGTTCTAATGTTGTAAGCATCTGTCACGCCCTTTGATTATTTTCCAAGCCAAACACTGAGACAAGGCAGTGTGAACCGTCCCCACACTGGTACGTATGGTCTACTACATTCTTGCTAGGCTGTCGAATTCTCTAAAATGCAGTAATCAAGAACGACGTGAAAACATACAAGAATTGCGCACAGATAGATTGCAAGCAATGCCTTAGAAGATTGTCGCAGATGGAAAGTCACGCTTGAATGTTTGCTAGGATATTAGTAACACGATTTTAGAAGATAAGACTCGGAAGCAAATAGCACTTTCGGCAACGGCCAAGAAATCAATACCAACTGCTGCTAAGAGAATTCGATTGAATACTGCTACAGTTATCAGTGTAACTGGCGGTTTTTGTTGGGCTAGTAGCACTGCTAAGTTGTATCTAGAGAACGCGTCGTCACGTAAAGACATCAAAAAGAATTCCACCATGACGCCCTCGAGGCTCACTACATGCTGTCCTAGCCACCAAAGTAGTACACGTCTAGTATGAAGGCTCCGAGGAAAAGTGCTACAAAGACCTAGCTTAGACTCAGATACAGTACCAAAATCATTGCCTGGTATAGCCATCGTGAGAAAGGCTGTGAGATCAAACGCACCTGTGACTATAGAACCCGGTAAACAAGGAAGCTTTGACCATTACCATGCAGTTGCTCGAACCCAGTGGCCGCATCCCGCCAACACACCCTCACAAATTCATTCCGCTTACCAGCTTGTTGTAGCACCGTTTCAATTCCACAGTGTACTTTATGTATCCTAGTGTCGGCCTCGACTTGCAGAGACCAAATGAGAGCTCCAGGAGATTGCTGAACATTGCTTGCAAAGACCAATATTTTACGTGCGGCTAGGATCTGACTCTCGAATTTTACGTGAAAGTAAACTCTCCTAGGCTTAAGAGTAATGGCGGTACATGTAGTTATTGCGGCTGGGGTCATGGGATCTCGGGGTTCCTGCATCTAGGACATTGGCTGTGACGCCACCTCGGGTGAAGACTTCAACAGTTGGATTTTGTCTCGAGGATACTAAATAGCTGCTTTCGAACAGCTGGAATCAGTGTGAATTTCTTATGAGGCATTGGATGAACGGATGTTGTGCTGTACATGTCTTCCAAAGGTTGTAGTGATGTGTCTCCAGCAAATTCTGGAGCGAGACAGCTAGCACCATCCGCTAGAGTACTGGCGATCGAACTACGGTGCACGGGTGAAGAAATGGAGGCCTTGACGAAGTCGGCACATTGTTCTTCTGATTCCCATTGGACGACGAGAAATAAATCAGAAGTGCAAATTTTGCTGCTGGTATGTGAGTTCTCACTTGTGATACAATATAATGGTATTACTTACACTGAATGCTCATAAACACAGCTGTACTCATCTTTACCGTTGTTGTTTAGGTGATCAGAGCCTCTTTATACTCCAAACTGGTATCAATATACCTTTAATATTAGCTAGGGTGTTCAGTAAAATCCCTTGATCACACCATAATCATGGGACACGCGGCAATGTATTATGCCGTAAACGAAGTATGCCTCGCCAACACATTGCTAAGCACAACGAGGGCCAATAGATCTTGCGAGCATGACCCCAAGAACCAAAAGAGAAGGTTATATTTGGACGTGCAATTAGAATCCTGGTTAGGGTAGAAAAGATTTTATGCAGAACAGCAGGATGGACATGTGACTGCTGCAATTGAGACTATGAGAACCAATGGATTTGACAGTGTGAGGTTGGTGCATGGATTCTTGACCCCAAGGAGGACAAGCCAGGATCATTGGAGCGGCAAGGTATTCATGCCAAGGAAATATTTCGTCAACATTACCTTAGAAAGTTTACTAGTATGTGACAAAAAGGTTCTTTATTAGTGCCAATGCATAGTGACTGGATCCTACTGTCACAAGATGTCGGTACTACGGCTGGTGGGGGACATACATTGGATGAGTGATTCATGCAATAAGTTATGAAACTAAATTTAGATGATTAGTGTGCAAGAAGACAATATATAAGTAGTGAGCCTATGTCTTGACTACATTCACCACTACTACTACACCATACGCTCACTATGAATTCAGTTGACGATACTCAAATAGCTTCGGTGACTTGGGATCAACTCGAAGCTCTTGATGGATATCCATGAGATCAACCCGAAGCTCTTGTTGAACATCCATGGGATCGTAAAGAAGACGAGCCCACAGATCCTATGGAGGTACATTAACACATAACTCTGTCTTAATATTACTAATTACTGTCTAGGATTCAAACTACTCATCTCAAAAACGGACAACTGATATCCAAATGGATGATAATTTTGCAGAGACTCTTGAAAACATGTCCCAGGACCAAACCGCCCCAGTATTGAGCATGAGTGGTCCAGCTAAAACACCAAAAAACATGGCAAATGGATTGATGAGCCCTGGGGATACTACTTGGGCGGTAGACTGGGAGAGTTTCGACTGTTACACATCAACTGCATTCACACAGTTTCCATCGCTCTTTTTTTCAGAGATCTTCGTTCCTATTCATAGAGCACCACTGCCTGAGCCAGTACCGTGCCTGGGAATCTCGGAAACCTTGGTTATCTTCGAGATAGCCCCAACGCAACTTGTTACATCATCTCCGATATCCCTTGGACGCAATACACCTAGTGTGCCGGCCACAACTTTGACATTCGATCTCCCAACCATCGAAACTGCGTCAACGCTTGGTAAATTTTCTCGGTGTTCAAGGGCAAAGACTGCACCACTCTCTCCTAAAACTTAAGACACCATGTTCTCTGTATGGGAAAACAAGTGGATTTACAACCATCGAACGGAAGGCAATGGAGAATTTCTTTCCAGGAATGCGGTTCATCGGCGGCCGAACTACGTTCCATCTTCAATTCCACTAGCGCAACCTCAGGACATTGGAACGAGCATAGCCTCAGTACCTCTCAACTTCCAGGAGCTAGTTGGAATAGCCGCTTCATCTGAAACTAGCGTATGTCCAAACGGTACCTTAGCAAACCAGCTATCAGATATTGGAGAGAAGTCTGACAAGCTTCTAAAGGCTACCCCGCCTCCTCAACATGTGGCCAGGAAAAAGATGCGCAGCCCTTCTCCAGGATCCTCAACTTCTCATCTGCTTTTCGACAGAAGTGCCGTTCCATCGGAGAATGCATTTTCCCAGTCTGGTACTAAGGAAGAGCCGATTGTCATTGAAGATTTGATGGACGAAGACAATAGAGAGACTGATCAGCAAGACCTCCATACCGACGTTGATTTGGTGGAAGACGACGGTGAAAACACAGATCCTGGTGAAGATCTTGACTTGATGCAGTACGCTTTTCGCAAAGATATGCAACAGATCACTCCAGAAAGTCGAACGCCGACCACAGGCAATCGAAGGCCTAGAGATAGTCACAGGCGCTCGCCACGTGGCACCCGCGCCCTTCGCGCCTTTGTACACCGCTCAGGTTTTCTTGACTGGAAAAAGCCTGTCGACAACATGTTAGACGAGGTATCGAATATCTGGGACAACGTGCAAACTCAATGGATGGAGTTATGTGGTAAGCTGTCGATGAAAGAAGGCCATAGCATGCGCCGCTTCAACGACAAGATATGCGGGCTCTCGAATAAATTCAGATTGGAAGGGATTTGCCTCGATGATGTACAGAAGTTGGTAAGAGACTGGAAGCTCGTTTATCGACTGATTTATTCACGAATTGAGTGCCGAACTGAGCAAAGGCTCATGAAACGCTTTTCAAAAGAAATGAGCAAGTTTAGAACAGCGTCGAGGGTGCTAAAGGACTGTAACCCTACGGTTATGGCCATTACGGAGGAAGATGATGAGAATGACATAGACTGGATTCCGAATGTGAAGCATGGAATAGCACAGTAGCGATTTGGTTATGTAATATCTTGTTTTTTGGTATTCATTGTACTTGCTTTTTTGTGCTTTTTTGTTTATCCAGAATCTTACAGTTTATAAAGTATTGCCTGACCTTCCTTCTATACCGTTCAGTGTCGTACATCCTGTCGATAGACCCACAGTGTCTAATGACAAGGACAGGGGGGAGGGGGGAAGGGGGAAGCCAGTCACATTTCAGGCAACCTAGTGTTCCGACGTGCGTTTGATGATGAAGCTATGACAGTATTGATTCAACCCGATTTGACGGGTCGTTCGAAGTACTGACCAATGAGTCCTTCTGAAGAGCGTTGTGCCCCGGTGGGCGGTAAGTACAAGAGGTTGGCATACAAGTTATCTTTGCTTATAAGTGAATTAGATGCCAGGAAAATCCAGACCCCATATCTCCGCCATCATGACCAATCCGATGAGTCTACTATCCCTAACCTTGGTCCAGGCTTGCCGCGAGTTCCTCAAATATGGCCTGCTGCACGAAGTTCTCCGTCCGAACTCCCCAGGTAACCCCAATCCCTTCTGGGTATTGAGAGAGAGCGTCAAAGGGGAAGCCTTTGCCAAACAAAGTGCGTTGAATCCTGAGGAAGAAAGACGCAAGGTATTTTTTCGGATGTATCCAGTGCTCGAGAGGTTCTTTGTACGATGTAACTCAACTTTAAAGCTAGTATTGCGCTTAAGTGGAACAGAACGTAGTTTGGATCCCATTGCTAGGTAACAGAGATTTCCACAAACTACTAGAGGATGGAATGGTGATCCTCTACGACTCCAACACGAATCGCCCTCTTTTTTTCCCAACGATACAAATGATCAGCCAGGCAGGATGCCATGGGTCCGTTTTTATACGATACACTTCACATCGGGGATCGTGTATGGGAGCCTGACTACGGTCTTCAATGGTAATGTACAGCCACTTGACAGATGATATTCTCTAAATATATCAGTCTTCGGAAGATGTGGCTCAACGGCGAGGGTAAGGTTGTAACCATGTATTACTCTATGTATCGACGATGGAAAAAGGGCCAGAGTCGGCAACAGACGTCTCACCCAAGTGTACCAACGTACCAAAGGGAGCTATATCCGAATGTCTTTTTGGAACAGCCATATCAAATTGGAACAGAAACACCACAACAACTTGCATATCCGTTACGAACGAACTCACAAGATCAGGCCCAGGGAAACAATGCATACGACCCCTACTCCATGGATCCACAGCCACTAACATCGCTTCCCCAAGTGAATGCTGCAACAATACCACTGTTGAGGAAGTTCCAGACTCACCTTTTGCCTGGTCAGAATAGCCATCCCGCGATGGTAGTTGTGGTGGTAGTCGTGGTAGATCTGTAACGCGTGCAACATTGAAGGCAGAGGAGAACATAGATTCCAACTAATATTATCCTTTCCGATAGAATGTACGGTTATAATTATACTCTTCTAAGGAAGCGCAATGCCATGGGATGTGTTGAGATGGTCCTGCAAGTCCTTCTTTCTGTACAGCTGATTTTTACACGAGTAGTGAGGGCATCTTCCATCATCCTTGTCAAATTGGCTATTAATATGATCTTCAATGTGATTACGGTAGTAGCCCGCATTTTACATCTACACAAAAGTCCTCTGTGCCATCTAGTTGATGGAAGCAGAAGCCGGCCCATTGATGCCAAAGGACGAGGCGGCGAGGAGCAACAACTGGGAGCCAAAACCATGAGGGGCGCTAGTGGCGCTAATTTATAGAGAAGCAATGTGATCTAATTTAATAGCTTCAATACCCTGCTTTGAATCCGTCTTGTCCTGACAGAGTACGGGCTGAGATCTGTTATTCCGCGGCCCATTAGCCTGATGGCCGCAGGCGGAACTAAGAGGATGACAAAGGTAAGTTACGAAGAATGCTTATGTGAGTCGTATAGAACTGTTTCACGGTATCTGGAAGCGGCATTCGCCTCGGCTGGAAGTGCTGACCAGGGTGGCGACATTGCATAACCTTGCGCTCCACAGCAGCTACAAGGCTGGTATGGCTTCCTGGCTTTAGTTCAAGGTTTTCAGCACTGAATAAGACATCTTGGTTTGTATCTTGGGTCACAAAAGCCTTACGATGATACTGAGTCGAAGGCATACTGTTTTGCTGTTTGATAAGCTACTTAATGTATTTGGCGTCGTGGCGACCAAAAAGCTGTAATCTATTGCAGAGGAGTAGTCACAATGACTCGTAAGATACTCAAGTATACATCCTATCATCGCTATGTCTACGCCTTAAGCGTGCGCAGAGTAATGGTTGCTTGAGGTCGAAGTACCTCGCTTATTTTCCTGGAGGGGTTTTTCCTGGCGTGAGGGATGAACATTAGAGTACTCAGCGACACTCAACTCTCAAACGCATATTCCATGAATTGAACTCTATCCTCTCACAGGCAGCGAACACTGACCGACTTTGCAACAAGTTCTCCTGTTACGCACTGCGTCTTGTGCTAGTGGGTGGTATAATGATATCAGTAAGAGAATATATTGAGGGCCTCGTCCCAGACACTTCTCCTATTCTCTGGGCACGAATACAGCCCGAGAGGATCGCTGAACATGCCGCAAAGATGATAGAAAAGGCCATTGCTCCAATGCTGATGTCAAATACCTTGCCTACCTTTATCTCTACCCAAGCTGGCAGCTGTTCGAGAGCCTTGGTGACGTTATGCTGCACGGCAACGAGCACAACATAGGGCACGCAACAGGCAAGTCCTATGCCGAAATGAACCATCATCTGCTTCGTGGTGCCAATCTTTTGAATGATACTCGCAAGATGGGTGGAATGCCCATATGCAACACAGCAAGATAGCAGCAGCAGAGTGATGAACGACAGAGACCCCGTAAGCAAGCAGCCAATCACCGCTGTAGGTAGGCTGTCGAGGCTGCTTGGCAGTGAGGAAAGAACTTCTACACGCGCTTGGATGACATCTTTGAGCGGACCTGGTAGGTCCTGGACCTTGTTCAGTACCAATGCCGAGACAGTCAGTCGCGAGCTACTGCAGGACCGACCCTGTTTAAACCCAACGCAAAAACGGATCATGCCGAAAGAGCAATTGAGCGGGACGTAATCTTCGATCTGGGGCAGAGAAGTCGCTGCTGAGCTCGCTGAGCTCTGCGTGTCAGCCATAGCATCGGAAGTCTTTGTGGCTGCGACGTCTAGGATCTTCCCAGCCCCACGTTTTATGTCTTTTAGTAGGTCGCGCTGTAAGGAGGCTGACAGAGGCGACTTGGTAAGGTTGAACTGGGCTGGTTCAGCTGGGTATCTCGGTCTAACGTGTGGGGCTGAGGGTAACTTACGTTCAGGGTAAACAGACCTGTTGTAGCGGTCTGTTGTGAGAACAGGATCCAGAACGTTGCGGTAGCGAGAGCAATAGCAAGCACCACAGTGACAGCCGTGACAGTCCAGATTGTCTTGCTCGAAGTGGTGAACATGTTTAGGCTAGCATTCATTATCATAAGGTGACATCCTATAGCAACATATAAGCGGTAAGGTAACGCGGGTCCATTCTCAGCTTACCAAGAGAGCGCCAGAAGCGGATCACGGAAGGCCAAAAGAGCATATTTTATAGTTACTATAGGTCCTGGGACACGTTCTTCATAGCGTAATCCTATATAGTTGTGCCTGCCTCCAAGCCTTCGTAAGATTCTAGCATTACTAAAGCGCAGCTTATTTCACGGGAAAACAAAGCCATGACTGCACGGTAATTAAATCACGACAGGTCGCTAAAAACTCCTATTCACGCTCACAGCAGCCAACCAAAGGTCACTTACTACAAGTCTAAGGTAAGAGCCAAGAGCGAGATTGCAGGACTGGTGATGATTGGAATCCTGCTTGTTATTGTGCTATCTGTCCTATTTTTGTACGTTCGTCATAAAAAACGCGCTCTGAGGACAAACAAACGCACGTTACAGAGATTGAGGCCGATACCATCGCAAGTTGCGAATGTGGAGATGGTGTGATGAGGATCACTTGGCGGCGGATAGCTTTACTGCATCGAATCTTGATAGTATAAAATGCTAAGCACTATGTTTGGAATTGTAGTGCTCTCATGTCCATCACTCGTGATGACTCCGAGTCTGTCGCTATCTGACCCATCTAATTTGTGGAGACGCGGATAGAACACACTGCGCTAGCGACATATAGCTTACTGTTCGCGTCTAACCTAAGTCAAGTGCTGACTCAACTATACAAACCGACCCAAGGAGGGCGCAGTTTGACCCATGCGTGGCGTAAGCATCCAGCACTCGTTCTTCCTGAAACAGCTTTCCATCATTTTGAGCTAACAAGTAAACTCGCTTACTTGATTTATTGATCTTGTTAGGCCTTTTTAGGCTCCGCACCGCTACGAAGCAGACCCACATGGATATCCTTAGAAGAAAGAAACCAAATGGGCTTTTAGGGAGAGCATGATTTCCCTATGACAGCATGAAGTCATATGGATATAGACTTCTAGGGGAAACCATCGCTCCCTCCGCTCTTCTTACCATCCTTTAATTACCAGAATCCCTTTCTGCACGCACTCAGACGGTCAATCACGGTGTGCGACTTAGTACAAGTCGACAACACCGTCACAGATGACGCAGATTAAGGTAGACTTCTTGTTATGCTAGCTGTGTTGTCCGCTCACATAATCAGATGGAACAAACCGAGACTAAGATGCATGCGACAATGCATGTTCACGAACCTACCGATTGGTTCGTATCGTACGATTCCTGGCTTTATAGTATCGACTACTCTTTGTGGCTACATCAGAAGGATATAGCGGTCTTGCGTGGAAATATCCGTACGATGCGAAGCGCACTCCCTGTGAATGCGAGAGCTTGCTCCCGCGAAGACAACGATCAGACGTACCACGCCGGGATGGACGACACAATAGACCAGGAGAGTTCTCAGCTCAATAGCTTTCTCAGCGAACTGACAGAGGCCTCTACAAGCAATCGTGACGAGATCACAGCGTATGCTATAGAGCGTCAGTGTTCTATAGCCCGCGACGAAAACGCTCCTGGTACAGATGTCCGAGCGATGGGAGTAGAAGGTGCTACAGCAAACCCCCAACAATTTGAGGCTACAATACACATGAGCCCGGTGAAAAGAAGTGGGTTGCCTAAGAGGGGCTTAGTGAAGCAGCGTGTTGGGCTGCGGAGGAGTCCAAGGCGCCGTAGACAGACGTAAAAGCGGTTAGCTAGCAGGTGGTCCAGGGACACATTGCTGGGCAAACCCTTCGATTTCAATTTACAATTACCGTTGCTCAATCCACGTCCATTAGCACATAAGACATAACTAGTCACAAGTGGAATGGGATTCTTTTTTCGCCACTGACTGTCAGGATTTTTTATATGTGTTCTTCCCATCCTCACCTATGATCCCGTCTAGTGTGCACCTATGCAGGAGCAAACCTAGTGCTTGCTGTAGAAATGGCGAGCGTGAAGAGGCTTGCAGACAACACGGCTTGGAAGCACTGCATACAGGGATGGTCTTCCGCATTGTTGTGTTCTTGCAGATCCATGTGATGAACATGCAGTCTTATCTAGGGCTAATACTGTAATGTCCATGCCTGAGACCCGGGACGCACCCCGAGGCGAGACGGTTTTGCACTTCGGACCTTCGGAAAATCGAACGGACAAGCCAATGAAGCTGTAGTGAACATATCTAAATCTATACTATTACTGCTTCGGCAGGACAACCTCCGGACAAAATCTCTGCAAAATTGAAAATGTCGCTGATCTTTTCCTCAAGGAGGCTTGTCCCCTCTTTACTGTTTGACCCCTGTCCAAACGCGACTTTACATCTCTAGGTATCACATATTCGGATGTCTGCAAAAGCAGTGCAAGTGCGAAAGATAATTAGTTGTCCTAGGGTTTGGCACTGCTCAGTCATCGAGACTGCGAATGCCGGGAATTTCGCTGTGGAGAGCACGAAACGCGGGGAAGCCTCCTAGTGTGGCGAGATGGTTTTAACCTTGTTCGCTTGCGTCTGAATAATGATATAATGCTGTAACGTATTCTCGCGCTATCCCCTATTGCTTCCTATGTCTAAAATAAGTGTAGCGCGTGTCGTGGGTCTTAGAACGAGAACGAGTCCTTCGTTGCCCCAATACCTCACTACCCCTTCAGGTGGTAAGGTACCACCTACACTATAGATCGTTACTAACTACTAGAGATAAAGATAAGGTAAGACAAGTGTTAGCACAAGGCATCCCTTCTAGTGTGCGTAGATCATACCGTATCATTAACCACCCACATTATTAGTGGATATACCCAACTCTGCCACGTAGTTAGTCTAATTAATTAACTCGTTTACTTCACTTAAACATTTTAGAGAATGGTAGAAAGTGGTGTGGTCTTGGCATACTGCGCCATTTTAGTGGTATACGCCAGTCAGTGGTGGAGCACGTTATGTAGATTTTACTGCGCTAGACTGTGAAGTTGTAGCGCCCCCCAGAGTAAGACCCTAACGATTCCTTTCATCTTGGCGAATTATAGGATTAATGGACATAGCCAACGATCCCTTCGCCCATTAATGATAAGTTGGCATGATGCTCGTACTGCACAAGCAGATCGTCAACAGCACGACATATATCGGACTAGAGATCGCTGAATTATCCTGCCTGCTTACGCAAGCTCAGCATCATTTCAAAAAGGCGTTTGTTCTTTTTCCTTCTCGCTTGGCGAAAAACCTCTCTTTCCACATTGTCTCCAGAGTCCTCCATAGCGTCTGTTACACACTCAATCAACTTCTCAATGTTGAAGATAAAATGTAAATCTCGGGCTTGCTTAGTACATTCCATCAAGCTTTCGTCCCATTCAGATTTAGTCAATATATAGTTCGCGAGGGCAACTACTACCTCAGCTAAATCTTTCCAGCTCTTCGATCCACAGCGTGGATCAATGAAGTCGGGATCGGTCTCGAAAAGTTCAATCTCCGCCAGGTCGGCAGGAGTTTGTTCATCATTGAAAGCGTCCAATAAGCTGTAGTCGAGCTGCTCCACCGACATAATGCTTGATCCCAGTGGGTTGAAAACGATGCATTCAGCGCCGATCTGAGCTATATTTTGCAAGCGATCTCCGCCTCCTAGATGTCTGGTCAAGTACGATGGATGGTTATAGACTGTTCTTACTTAGAAGCTTGTCTGCGTCTCTAAACTTGTACCAGAAGTCTCGTCTGTGTAGCGGTCATAGAAGTCGTGAAGCATATTTCTAACGGTGAGGTCCTTATCCATTCGCAATTGCCACTTCTATATAAGAATGAAAGGCGATTTTTTGAATGGAAACAATCTATCGAACAAGTCATCTCCAAGTACGGAGCGTATTGTGAACCACACTACGAGAGTGGAAGCCATGCCGCAATCCACAGTAGTTGGCCCAAGTATCAATAAGCCTTTGAGGGGCTCATCGCTTAGCTAATCTGTTCCACCCTTCCAAAACTCATCCAACGCTTTGCATGACAACGGCCACAGCGCCACCAAAAATTCTCTCTCGCTTCAAAGCCTAGGCAGACTTTGTCTTTTATCTTAATTATTTCAAATCCAACCAATGTAAGAGCCAATGTAGAGCTGCGAAGCCATTTGATTTTCCTCGCTCTACGCGGTACCGTTGGGCGGACTCTATACCTATAATAGTACGAGTAGCGTGTCATTATGTATATACCTTTAGCTGCCGGTCTTGTGGCGATACAAAACCAAGCCAATAACGTAGATAGTTCTAATGTCGATGCTATGGGCTTCAGAGCGGGCGGGAAACGTGAGTACTCTATGGAATCGTTACGAAGCCACGAAAAATTCCTTCGCATGCTGCAACATGCCATTGTAGAAGTCTTGAAGCGCACATTTACTAGCATACCGATCTTGGATCAAATGCAACTGTTTGGAATGACTTTTGGGAAACGATAATCATCCTGTCTTCTATTCTGAAAAGCTGCTGCTTGACGTATTTTTATAATCCGGGTCATCCACTGCTGCCCGCTTCGCCTCCCTCTCCACTTCCTGAACGTATCTTGCTTCATCACCAGAACCAATCACTTCTGGCGGTGTTTCAGATCGTTTGCGCTTTTGGACCCCCGCAGGTATTGAATGTCGCACAAGTGATGCTCCCTGGCACATTTTGCTTTCCGCCGCAGAGAGATATTTACAAAGCTCTGGAGTAGACACTATAATCTCCCTCCTTCCCTCCACATCCTTTGTAAGTTCCTCGCACGCAAAGTCGGACAGTTGGAGCCGTAGGCCTGGGTGATTAGTATGGTTTCCCTGCTCGTCACGAAATGCCTGTAATGAGACGTTAGCTGAAAAACCAACTTTTACCGAAAGAAGATATACCTCATCTGCAACTTCCTCGACTACTCGTAGTTCAACGCCGTCGTTGGTTTGGTGGAATTGAGGTCGCCACACCGACAAGGTTGCTTCAAGCGACTCCTTCACTCCATACCTGATGTCGAAACCCACAACAACTTGCACACTCGCATCTGAGTCCAGGAGATACTTTTCAGCCAGCCGGTGTAGTCTGGTTTTCTTCTGCGAATATGCCACTTCAATGATAACCCCAGGGTATTGCGCTTTGTCGTGCCAGAAAGATGCGTCTGGTTCATGTTTCGATCTGTTGCCAGAGGAATCATCTGTAGCTGGAAAACGTATCTCGGTAGATCGAGCAGCGTTGACCTTCTGGGCGAAAGCCGCCGCGTCGTCAGATCCCTCACGAATTATTTTCAGTTGGCTGAGCACAGAATCCTCAATACGGGCAATAAACAATTCATGCACGGCTGTAGGCATGCGAATAACAAGTTGGTGCTTTTCCGCGTCGTAATCATACCTGTCCACCTCTTTTGTTAGCCACTATGTGTATCATGTTTTGAGCACGCTAACCGTATCTTGTCTTTCACAAACCCTTGCAGCTCCTCGTTTTGCTTAAGGAGACGCTCCAACTTATCAATGTCCCCTGGCTTAAGCTGAATCTCGGTCCACGGGTCTTGATTGCTATGCTTTCCTGCTTGTATTTCTCGGAAGAGTGTAATGACCCGGTCAGCTTGCGTATCCGGCTTCTCGTTGGTTGGTGGCGGTGTTAAGGGTATGTTTACAAAACTCGAGGGCGGTGTCGAAGGCATAGCAGTATATCGCACGGCATCGCGGTGTTGCGAAAGGGTTGTTACGATGACTGCTCGCGGTTTAGGAGTTCTGACGCTTTGGCCGCTTTGGTTGACTCAGCAACAGTGCCAAGGGAACTTGCTAATCAAGATGAGTCTGACTGCGCAGTAAAACAAAGCCCAGAAAACCTAACGTCCCCTGCCCGTAAGCGAGAAACGCCCCTCAGCGAGATAGACCCACCGTTCACGCACCTCATACATCCCAATACGCATCTAAAGATCTGCGATTAGTGTTGGCCTATTCTTTGTTCATTTCACCTTAATATTTAATAGTGCAGCAGGAAAAATACAGTAGTTGTGGTTGTGCCGGCGATCATTTCGCGCGCAGCTTCAAAGGCCATTTCGTGTTCTACCTCTGCTCTATCGCCGCCATCCGTCATCTTTCCATGTTTAAGATGCTATATTAGTAGATCTAGTCTAGATGCACATTGCCCCAGCTCGCGAAGTCAATCAGGTGATGAAAATGTGGTGTCCGAGGCTATCTCCGTGTTGCAAGCTCTCGTCCTTGGCGCTATGTGTTTCAGCAGAGGACATAGTGTGATTATGTATCAATGGGAGGCTGGTAAGGCTGAGCGTATTGTATCTAAAGCTATGCTCGATCAGCTCGATGTGTGGCGCCTTCCAGAAGCTTCGACGCACAAGCAATGTGGAGGCTATTTTTGGAACGTGCCTCGTGTTCCCTTCGGTCCCAACTCGGCGCCCTCTCTCGCTTTCACTCCCACTTCGTGCTGAGATGGATGCAGCAAGTCTGGTGCTCGCGCAACCTCTCTCGCCCGGAGTGTCTAGGACCTGGGCTGCTCGAGCTGATCGAAAGAATGTTCCGCTCTCCACACTTCACCATCGTTCTCGAGGACGGCGGTCTAAGCAAGAAGCCGCGCAAGGGCGGCAGTATCTCACTCCAGATGAGGAAACAGCTGTTGTCAAATTCCTGCTAATGAAATCTAAGCTTGGACATCCTGTGCGAATCAAGTTCTTACCCTCCATTGCCTTCAGCATTGCCCGCCAGCGGCCATCCGGGAAGAAGCCGAACAAGCCGCCGGGCCAGAAGTGGGCGCGATGCTTCGCAAAGCGGCACCCAGAGATCAAAGCGAGGACGGTCAAGCCGATTGACTGGAACCTTCATGAGAAGTACACGTACGAGAAGATGGAACACTGGTTCAAGGTCATTCAGGAAGTGCTTCAGGACCCCGCTGTGGTACCGGAAAATGTCTACAACATGGATGAGACAGGCGTGATGTTGAGCATGCAAAACTGCGTAAAGGTACTGGTAGGTAAAGACGACCCGCGCGACTATAGAGGCGCGGGCGTCAAACGAACTATGGTGACAGCCATTGAATGCATCAGCGCCGACGGTAGGGTATTGCTGCCGCTGATTATCTGGCCAGCTTTGACGCATCGGAGCAACTGGACCACGTATCCGACGCCCGGCTGGCACTACGCGCACTCTGAGAATGGATACGATAACTCCAAGATCAGCTTGGAGTGGCTTATGCGCGTGTTCGATACGCAGACCAGAGAGACAGCTAACGGGAAACCACGTGTTCTAATATGTGATGGCTTCGGAAGTCATGAAACGGTGGAAGTGCTTGAGTTCTGCCTCGCTAACAACATCATTTTGTGTCGCCTTCCCTCTCATACGTCACACAAACTGCAGCCTTGTGACGTCGCTGTGTTCGCTGCTCTGAAGGCAGCCTATCGCGATCAAGTCGACCGATTGGGCCGAGGGGGCGTAGACACAATCGGCAAGGAGCATTTCACTTCTCTCTACAGCCCTGCAAGAGCACGGGCCTTTACTAAGAGGAACATTACATCTGCATGGGCCGCTACAGGTCTGTTTCCGTTCAATCCTGAACGAGTATTGAGGGGCATACCGAAGCCTGCTGCACACCCGGTAATCCCGGGACTTGCTCGATCGGCGGATCTAGCGCACAAGCCGAGGCTGTGCAGACAACTGCAACACCTACTACGCCAGTCACGCCAGTGAATGTAGAAGATGTGCGATCGCTGTTCGATAGAATCAAGCCGCGTGCTGAGACGCTTGACGAGTCAAGCAAACACGAGCTACTAAGGGACACGCACATGATGGCGAAAGCCACAAGAATAGCTATTGCCGAGCGGTCTTTTCTGCAGGACCACAACCGGTTCTTGTCAAAGATCAACGGCGAAGTCAAAGCGCGGCGGTCGACCAAGTTATTGGTGTTGGGCACGGCGCAGGTGATGAAGTACGAACAGCTGGTAGAGGCACAAGCGAGGCGTGCTGCAACAGCAGCAGCTGCCGCAAACAGAGCAAAGCGAGGACGCAAACGCAAGAGTGCTACGTTAGAGAGCAAAGCGCCAGATGCGACAGCAGAAACAGCGCAGGCTAGTCGTGTGTCAGGACCCTGGAGAGCACCAGTTGCGCGAATGGTTGCAGGAGATTGCCAAGTAATTCTGGTGGAAAAGAGTTATAGATGTTTAATTGATAGTAAAGACAATTAATTTTATACGATAGAATAATAAAGTATTAATCGTGTTAGGTAGAGAGCTTATAAGAAAGTACGATTTGAGTTGAGCACAACGAGAGTAAATAATGAAATCCATCCTTATATCCTCATTGCTTCCAGTCCTGCCCTCAATGTCCTCACGAAGTCATCCCTGAATCTTCTGAGGCCACTAAAGACACTCCATCACGTGTATTATGGTCCTCACATAAAAGTAGGGACTACCCATTCTTGGCGTAAAGCCAGTCACATCATTATGGCCCCGCGATGACCACTTCCCTGCTAACATCCCGAGTGAGCCCTTCAACCACTCGGGGTTAGCATCCAGGGTGGAGATCCCTCGACTTGCTACTTGTAATATTGGACTAGTTATACTTCTCTACTTCTCGATCCGGATTAGGGCGAGATAGCCGTTAGCGGTAATCCGTGAGATTGCCTGGCGATTCTATGGGAAAGGAGGTATGGGAATTCGACTGCTCACCCACTGCTCACCCATTGCTCACCCACTGCTCACCCACTGCTCACCCACTGCTCACCCACTGCTCACCCACTGCTCACCCACTGCTCACCCACTGCTCACCCACTGCTCACCCACTGCTCACCCACTGCTCACCCACTGCTCACCCACTGCTCACCCATTGCTCATCTATCAACTACAAACGCTAATTACGCTTCACTAAAGCTTAGTCACTTCTCCACGCAATAAGAGAATAGTCAAATGAATTCGGCATTATTCGCTTTATTCTATAGGCACTACAGATGTTATTCGTTTACCGCCTGCAACTCTAACATTTTTTACGCATCAAGATGTCGCGCTTCACAACGCCTGCTAAAAGACAGAACAATATCATCAATAATAGGTACGCAGGTCTCATCTTTTCATGCCAGACTCTATGCTATTCTCTAGTAGGCATTCTCCTTCTTAGCTACTATAGAAGCAGGTAACTTGTGGGGCGCTATACTATAGCAAGTCGCAGCAAGTGTTACATCTGCACATGCACAACAGCGTAAAGCTAAACAGTGATGGCGCAAAACCCTCTCTTCCCATCTTTGCACGCTTACAACGTCAGCGCTAGGCCACAAAACAATGTGGCACGTAACACTTATTACTGCAATAGTCGCAGCATAACTCAGAATTCTATTAATATATCCGCGCCTATGCACGATATTAGGGCCCACCCAAGTAGTTTTACATGGATTAGATCGTAAGCGTAACGCTTGAGGTGGCCGCTCACGTCGGACGATGGGTAGGTAGCACGTGTGGGGCAGGTCCGTGCGAAGGCCGAGGATCATGGCGCTGTGACTACTAGGGTGGGGCACTTTCAACGGCACCACTCGTGGTGAACCCTCTGGTAATGTTCCTTGATGACGACCTGGTCAGCTATGCACACTCTCATGCAGTTGCAGCTTCCGGTTTGTGTCATCATGGTAGTCTCTAGGTACAGTATTATTCAATGGTAGTCTTGCTCAAATAGTACTAGTTTCTGTCAGCGATATAATGGCTTGGTCTGCATTCAAAACTCTCAGACTAACCAATGCATAATGCTTACATAGTTTGAATATCCTTGGAAAAATGCATATCAGGGGGGTTCATGTACCTCATGAGATGACAACTAAGCGATATGCGCGAAGCGAAAGCATGAGAGTGTAAGACTCGCGCAGGGTGGTGTTGGAGACGAACATCCCCTAGACGGAGAATTTTGCAGTACTGTAGCTTGTTAATTCTGTGCAGTCGTGTGCAGCATGTTATACAGCGGTCCTCGGTTCTAGCTATCGCGACATGTTGCTCTTCACACATGTATAGAGAGAAGTAATGTCAGCATAACATGGCGACATTGTATTACTTCAACAACTCTAGAATGGTGCATCTCGACTAGATTCCTGTACTAATTACTCAAGCACTTCAATCATCTGTAGTCATTCCGAACACCACTTTCAATTCAACGAAGAAGTATAGCGTATGCTAGATCTAGCTATGGTGCAGCTGCGTTATAGGGCCCCCATTCTTTCTGCTATTGCCATAGTTGATATAATTCTCATTGTACAACAAACGCCAGTACAGTGGCTTGCGTACTGTACCAGAGCGAACGTTCTGTTTACACTTGTCTGGTGGCATCCTTTCGTTCTGTGCTTAACTCTACTAGCTTAATGTTCTCTCTAAGGTCTAAGGTCGCTGTCGAACCCATCTTTATGGCTGTGAAATTCCTGGGTAAAAGCACCTTCAGCTCAGGCAAGGAAGCGACGATGATGGCAAGGGATAGCTCGACCATACTGAGGATATCTGAATGATAATCGAGTTAGCATGCACGTTACAGCTATATAATAGTAGATCCCGAACGTACAGACAAGGTTCTCTTGACCTGTTCCAATTTTTAGGCAGATAAAGCGAACAATGCCTGTGACAATAGGAAGCATTCCCATAACAAGTGTCAAGACGACTGCAGTAGAGGTCTCAAGAATACCTTGAATAAGGAGGGTCACGGGGAGCATGTATATGACCAGGTAGCAAGTCAGGCCAAGCGTGAAGTTTAGGATGAAAGGCTCCTGAGCATAAAACACTGAGCACGCGCCCTTTTCTTGAGACCACTGCACAGAAACATCTTTGCCACAGAAAAATGTGTCATCGAATAGGCTTGTCAAATAACAGGCCACGACAAAGGCAGTCATCAAGATCAACAGTTTCTGCGTCGTTCGGTGGCGGCTGAGATCGAAGAAGGTCCAGTAGAAAGCCAACATGCTGAGTTTGGGCAAACCTAGCCCAAAGTCGTAGAAGTAATTCGAGACGAACGAAGTCTGCATTTAATATGTGTCAGTAATAGTTTTTACAGAAGTAAAAGGCGAGACCAAGATGATTCAAACAAGGAGTAGATAGACGGGGAGCGCGAACCTTCGACAACCTTTCTGAAGTCTTGTAGTTGTCTAAAACGCCCATCTGGAAAGTGAGTGTATCGCAGATAATCAAGCCCAAGGCATCAAGGACAGAGGCGATCAACAGTATCTCTGACCAGCTTAGTTTCTTGTGGAGGTAGAAAACATGCGCGTAGATACGCAGAGCAACAAAAGCGAAGGCAATGATCAAGAAGACCCATTCTGTGATCTAACAGTGATTTAATTCATTAGTGTTCTCATGTTCAACATGTATCTAATCATCAACCTACCATACAATCTTTGCCATCAATGAAGTAGGCCATTGCGACGGATCAGAGCAATCGAGCTGAGGAAGGTATGAATGGTCAAACTACCAAGCGAGAGATGACCCTTACTTGTCAAGTTAAGGTGGCAGAAGAGGAGAGAGCAACTCTAGCTCAATTGGTCTACCGAGTTTGCTCTAGTTCGGTGTGTTTATTGCTACTGGAGTGTCTTGTTAGGCGGGCCACAGATGCAGATTCACGCGGGATCACCAGCGGGCCAGATTGCTCCATAGTCACATCCGATGAGGGAATAAGGTTGTAGAGTAACAAACTATATTCGCATCTTAGCGCGTTGATGCGCAGCACTGTCACGAACGAGCGATATCTTACAGTACGTAACAAGGGCTTAGCAAGATTTGTGGCGATGATAGTTGGACCCAAGCGTCATTGGGTCCACACGTGGTATCCCATGTGGCTCCCCTACTTAGCTGTTACCACTAACACTAGACTTCTCCAGTGGGACCCGGCTCTACGAAAGACTATATATTTGGATTTTGCTGGATTGGAGTCAAAAATAGAAGAACCATAAATACTTTGTCATACCCGCCCATAGACCAACACAATGAGGGACTCAGCCTCTCTGATTGCCAATCTTGAAACGTGATAGGATAGGACATGCACCATCCGTTTTTTCGACATCAGACCCAGCATGCAAAGCTTCCCAATGAAAATCTCTGGATACTTCTATACTAGGTTGAGGCTGCCCATGGAGAAGGAACCCAAGAGTATCCCAGATACAAGAAGGAAATGAAAAGAGGATATGGAACGTGCTTGCCACGTTTACTTATATGAAAGTCAGCTCATATTGCCATTAGTTTAGTTGCTATGAGAAGTTACGCGTAGTATAATCCGACAAGTGTGGGATCACATGGAGTCTTGCGCAATGGGCTTTTGTCATGTTATAGTTAACGTGCATCCCTTCGTAACGGAACAACCGGTGTGGCGGAACACCATTGCTTACGCAAGTAGATAAGAGGCGGAAAAACTTATGGAAACATATTCACAACCTCTTGTTGTTTTTACTTGCATATGTCCCCACACATCACCAATGCTTCGATAGAAAAATACGCGGTGGTGTGGCTATATAACGTCAATACACTAGCGGCGAGATTTCGTGCCTCAACTGGCGCCTCAACCTACGCAACTATCTTGCCCTAAATCCCGTCGTCAGAGATATTGAACGATGCTCTGGGTGGCGTAGTTTCAGATACTTTTCTCGACATGCTAGATGATGCTCTGTGGTGGTAATCAGAAAGTTTCTCCGTCGCTAAAACGATTCGCAAGATTCGCGATGAGAGTTTAGCGTACTAACGAGCCCAGCTTTGTCATCTGAAATATATTCACGTGACCTTTACTTTGTTTAATCATGTGACATGTTCTTCTGGCACGTTCTATCAGTCTTTAGTCTTTGTTCTATTCTTAAGTAGGGTTGGAAAACTTCAGAAGGCGTCAATGTTGGGCGCGCCAAGGGCATGTGATCAAAACGCGTGTTGAGTCACCTCACTATTCCTTACAAAGCGTTACCCCGCCACACCACGACAGGACTTTTGCGCACGATGACGGCTCCGACGATGCTGTGGTGAGTTAAATATGATAGCTTTCGTGCTCAATACTCGAATGGTGATGGTATATAGGTGGAGGACCAAGACAGCGGCATCACTTTTAATTCGGGGAAGGGCACTCTGCGTCGCGTGTTGGGACACCATTTTATTTGGTGGCTCAAACGCGCTTCTCCCTTCATCTTGGTGTACAGTAACAAACGGTTAGCGTCGTCGAAACAAGCAGAGCAGCTTGTTAAAGAGGGAAAGAAGAATGTAACCATCTGTGAGATCGATGTGTATGCTAGTAACAGGCGTGCGGAGCATTACTCGTCCATGTAACCTTTCACCAAGTTCCAACTACATTTTGACCTCTCATGATTGCGCAGAGCTTTTTAGCCGTCCATACGATAGCGCCAACATAAGAGCCTAGAAAAGCAGCTCTCGTTAAGATATGCTTCGCCCGGGGCATAAGTACAAGTAAGAAAGTAGTGAAGACACCTGCGTTGATCGCCATACCAACTTCAGACCATGGATTTATCGTAAAACTAGCAAGCAAACTAGATATAAAAAGACCCGTTAGTGTCGAAAGCGCACCTGGAGGAATACTCACAAACAAGTAAGAGAGAACATTGCTGAGAACTTCTCCCCGTAGACTGTCGCAATAGTACGATACTCTGCAAAGGCATCTGCGTCCACATCTACCATCGCGGCCATGCTGTGCAGAGCTGAACCATATAGTAGGATAAGCCAGCCGCTCTTTGAAGCAGTTACAGAAGAGACGAATGTTGCGTTTCCATCGAAGATATAGCCGCAAGCCCAGAAAAGCCAGCATATTGCTCCGTTCGATAGTGAGTCCAGGACTGGTCGCTCTTTGAGTCGGAAGGGGGGTGATGAGTATGACCACAGTAACGCGAGAACAGCGACGATGCAACTGAAGAGCTCTGACGACTTTCTCCATGAAGGAAAGGTTATCAATAAGACTAGCGCAGTCGATATTTTAGCTGCTAGCAATACATATCTGTGATGATGCTGGTCGAGAGCGGTCCCGTCCGTCCATTGACTGGTCTTGCGTCGATTTTGCGAATCTGACGTATAATCATAAACATCATTCACTCCAAAGGCAACTTTTTACGTCAGTACAGTACGAGGTAGGAGATTTGGGGTGGCAGTTGCTAACATACTAAGACAGATGGGTAAGGTTAGCGCTGTGCCAAAGAGTAGTTGCTCTATACCCAATTCATATTTTCCAGAATGAATCAGGCCTGAGAACCATATTGCAGGAGCAACTACCCACGAGAGAGGGCGGCTTACTGACACCAGAAGGGCAAGCTGCTTGGGTAGAGACATCGCTTAGATACACGTAGGTCGATAGAAGATAGGTGTTTCTTGCCACGACTTGATAACTACAGCTGTTACGAGATACTAGAAACGATCTATAGAGCAGAAAAACCTCTAGAATAAGACTAAATATGTACCAGTTGCAGCACAGGTCAACGGATCAGGTATTGCTCACGAGCGAAGCTAGCACCCCAAGTGGTTTTGGCTGCTAACGCACTCGGTATCTATCCATCCCAAAATCCCGTCATTCTCGACCAGGGTACAGCCGAGATCGTACATAAGCATTGCAGTGATACTAACAGCCCACATGTTCAAGTAAGTTACTTAGTTACAACGGTCATCAGATATCAAAGTCAGCAGAGCGAGAGCAAATCTGTGGAACGACTTTACGCCTTTAGCCCCTCTATAGTGCGGATAATGCTAACTAACTAGTTCATTATGTAACTGGTTAGTTATGTATTCCACCACTTGTCACCACATCCAGGCCTCGGGCGCTCTTCATCATTCCAGCATTGAATGCAATAACTGCTCTATAGGTGCCAAACCAACGTGGGGGGTGCCCAATGGCCTACAGAGATGGTTGCGACCATGGACGGGTGTATATCTGGTCATTCGTGACGATAATTCTAAAAAGTGATTTCTCGCTATCTATCGTGCTTTTGTTTGTGATTATCACTATAATGCCTATCTAGTGAGCTCTAGGCGTCAGGTGACTGGCTGTCTCAAGCTTACCTCTATCCAGCTAGCTCAGCAATTGAGATTATGTCAGCACTGCTGGTTGGTGCATGAGATACAGAGGTACCAGGCCGTGTGGCGATCACGCACGAATCCGTCCACCAACCAGCCCCTACCGCTGGCGAGCAGGCTTAAACATTTGTATTGAATACCTAGACGTATATAGAAGCGACAGATACGTTGCGACGGACGGAACTGATGGTAGTGGTCTCATAACTCGTGAGGCGCATGATTGAGATGAAGCAGGTGTCTTCGCATATCTGTAGGGAAGGTATCTACACAACTGTAATTTTTGTATTGGTAGGCATGCATCAACTCAGAATCAACCCTAGTATATACTTAGGCAGGCCAACATGATACTTAGGATGGCTGCAGGCTATGATGTTGCTGCAAAGTCAAAGTACCTGCAATTTTGTCCGTTACGGCGGTTGTTCCGTTACGAAGGGATGTACGTTATATAGATTGTTGATTCTGTGGTGATAACATGTAACGTCCATCCCTACGTGCCGGGACGCACGGTGTAACGGGACACTTTCTCTTCCGGACCCTCGGACTATCCGCAACATGCCTGTATATAGACAAGCATAATGCGCATCTAATCTACAGCTCTTGCTCTCCTAGCAAGTCGGCCTCCGATGCTAAAAAGCGCATCATTGATCGTGCTGTCGCTCGTGCTGCCAACGCCGTCTCCTAACTCTCCTCTAGCACCCCCTGCTCCTCCTCGATATTACACCTCTGCGAACATATCGGTAGGCCAAAAAGGAAGCAAAGATAGCAAAGATTAAGACTGCAGCCTTATAAAGTCGATTCAGAGCAATACGTATATATGCCGGCAGTTTCTCCGCGTAGACCGCAAGATCGTCGAAACGCGTGCCTAAGGACATGCGCTGTTAGCAGCACTTAGCATGTCATTAGCCTGCAGTAGCGTGCTCAGATATCACCATACGCTATCGTAACAAATTCGACGCTACTTCTGCAATAGTTAGCTTCTAAGAAGCATTGTGGCGCAGCTTTCTAGAAGCTTCGATTGCTAGATATTCAGCCTCACTACTATAACACGACCTTGGCCGCCGTCGCCATTTGCGCTGCCTTTGTACTTAACGATGTTACAACTTCGCCAAGTATTAAGCCAATCCCAGAGCCGGATCGGAGGAAGTATCGGCCGCCTCTTCATTAGATATTCGTTTCTTAGTCGGATCTGATTCGGACCCGACCAGGACAAGTATATATAGAGACACTCCCTATAGCTAGCTCTGTAGACTTTTGATATCCTTTCGTACAAGGCCTATAGGTGTCTATTCGAATCAAGGCTCGTTTGATGTCCCACGCACTCCCATATGCCTCTGAGTGACACTACTGCCGATACTGATCCGAGTAGTCTTGCCTGCGCCGTTACAGTACGTAGCTCTTTGAGCTACGTCTTGTAATCTAACGTATACCTGTTGTCCTATTAAACCGCGCACACCTGCCCCCTGACACATCCCTCTCCATTGAAATCCTATTTCAAAGACTTTACTATAACAATTCCGACATGTACATCTCCATAAAAGTTTTGGGGGTGAAAGACCTACATTTAATGCTTACTGTGAAGGACCGAAGCTCAGCAACTAAGTTTATTAGTACGCGCGTACAGTGGGGAAAAATCCACCTATAGTTAGTTAATAAAGCCGAATAGTTCTAGATGGAACTTATTTATATGTATTTACTTTGTATTATAGTAAATTTGACGCTATGCCTCTAGTAGCTAAGAATAGCTGTGGCGCATGCTTGTAGCTTTCTAGAAGCCTCTACGGCTAGATGCTGTTGCAACGCGACCTCGGCCACTATCGGCATTTGCTCTGCCTAAAGACGCCGATGCTGCCGCTCTACTAAGAAACGATAAAGCAGCGTCATCCTCTTATCGGCCCACCGGCCTATAGTCAATTAGAGCTTTCTTTCTAGTCTGTGTTACTCCGTTGCTAACGTCTATCCATTCCGTGCTGGATATTAGATGAGTCAGCACTAAACACAATCAAGGCACACTCTAGCAACAGCTCCTTGAGCATCCTTGCCCTCAAAGTATTATCGGCTTTAGCTATCGCTTAAGATTGGAGCTTCGCCTTCACCGGCAATATATTAACATCTGACCTCGTCGCCAATAACCTTTCTAAAATGCTATTAGCACTAGCGCTTACTTTGCCACTGTTATTCTTTCCTTATAAACTCTTCCCTCGTCTAATCACATTCATCAGCTGGCCATACTCATTCCCACATATTTAAACCTGTTTTCACTAAGATTGGCTTTACACACTTTATTTTCAACAACCTACTATGCATTTTTTCGGACTTATTACTGCTTCGTTACTGTGCCTAGTCAGCACTTCTATTGCGGCATGCCACGATAACTGCAATAGCGGTAATGTTGGATCTGGATGTTCAGTTACCTGTGATGCAAGTATCTCCACAAAAGCTCGTGAACAGAATATTAATAGACATGTAGGGCGGCGGTACGGGTTATGGAGTATGCATAGCTGGTGATGGAAGTCCCTTTTGTGCGACTAGTTGAGGTACTAGATTTTGGTAGGCTATGTGTCGCAGCCTTTGCAATGCCGCGGAAACACTGACGTTAGTTAAGCCAAGGTAGTGGTTAAGTCACTACCGTAATAACAAGGATCTAAAATCACGAAATACTGCCGCTACGACAGGTCTTTGGCTTCGTTCTTGCGAACTGTTTTGCTTATACTAGGGGTTGTCGCTATATTGCTAGACACCTAGCAATGTATCTTAGATGCGTGTATATGTTACCGTGGAGCTCAACAGGCAGATAGACAGACACGAATATGGAGATCTATTAACTATATTACTTCCACTCAAGACCCATACTCTTAACACCTGCCACGGAGCTGGCATCACAGTGTATTGCTTTTGCGACCCTAAGGATTAAGAAATACAGAAGTCATCTCAAACCCCTACTTCGAAAATGCACTTTGTATCTTGCCGAGACAGAGCAGGCAGTTGGTGAGTTTAACTCTAATGTGATTATTGTGGTCGACGATATAGTAACGTGCATCCCTCCGTGACGGGACGCCCTGTGTGCCGGGACTGGCCAATCAGCTCGCTTGAATTACTGACATCTGTCTCAAACTAGCGTTCTGATTGGTCAGTCCCGGCACACAGGGCGTCCCGCCACAGAGGGATGCACGTTAGTAAGAAAATATATATCGCTAGGATATAGATATCTTAGTAGTCTCAAAGATCGATCGATCGTAGATTCTGGCTCTGTAAGATCAGCTGACTAGCTTAGATCTACTCCGTACAACAGTAATATATATGATTTCGGTGTGTCAGATTACAAGAGTTATGAAGGAGAGTGAATTGATTATATAGAAGACAGAGGACCTCAGTCCATCAAAGCCAGCATTCTACTTAATATTTCCTTTGGCCCTTATATCCCCGGTGGTGTTGGCACTTCGTAGCCACAGCGTCGTCATGCCTCTATACTACGCAGTAAAGGTAGCCTGACCGTCCAAGACAGCTAATATAGTCTTGGTTACGGGCTTGCGGTACTCCACGAACTGTGCGCTCAACAGAGTATACTCCACTGCATGTTTCACTTGCGCCTTTTGGCTGCTTCTCGCACTGGAAACCACCATTATATTAGTAACACAATGATTCGTTATAAATGAGATTCTAATAGCTTACACAAGCAGTATAAGAATCGCCGCAGTTCACCTGCTTTGGGAAGTGATCTGTAGCGCAGCAGAAAGGGGTAGGCTCGGCAGCAATCGGCTTCGCTTTAAAAGCCAGAATGGAAAGAGTGATAGCAAGCATTATTTTCTGCAGCATAGTTCCGTTGGTGTAGAAACGAGGTAGTCTGAAATAGAAAGTTATTTGTAGTAAAGTTCTGTTTACAATCTGTAGCCAGTATTCAAAAGGTGATCGACAGATGACAGTGTTTATATAACTATACTAGAGCAGAAAATATAGTTTTCTACTAATGCAATACAGTTAGAACGTCTCATGGGGCATGAACTTCTCTAACCTAATACGAAAGCTCATCACGTTCTAGGCTCTAAAAGCTTAATAGATGGCAAACTTAAAACGCCGCCGCATTACTTGTCAGACTCCTGGTACTTAAACCTTAAGTGTCCATTAGCCCGTCTTTATGCCTAGAACTACGTCACAAAAGTACCTCGTATATGCAGGCATAGAACTTGATAAGCGATTTTATTAAGCGGTTGTGAGAGATTTATTTTTGCCGTCGGGTAGTTAGGGTGCTTAGCTTACTAATCTGCCTAGCTCACTAATCCTTGACGTTACGAAGGATGATTTATTGAACGACAGGGAATACTCACCATCAAGAGACTTTAAATAAGGCGAGATTGGTTTTCGTCCGCGGTCCCTATCTAGACTAGCGACTTCGACCGCGATAATCATTACCTTCTGATATAGACATGGTTGGCCTCCAACCTTGCCGTTCCCTATTAAGTAGAGAATCCTTCTTTGTTACTTGCAATAAGTTAGTCGACATCATTAATAGAAGAGAATGTGCCCCGTTGTACCGTGAGTCCCGGCACGTAAGAGTGGGCGTTAATGCGTTAGTACGGAGTTTAAATCTATGTTAATAGACTAACAAGGTGTTATTATGATACAAGAAAGATTGTTACATATTATAAAGCCGAAGCTGACTGTCACGTGATCTTCGACTTGCTGACAGGACTCCAGATCTTAAATAGCCACAGTGTTACACGGGGTTGGGCTATACGTACCTAGTCTCGGTCCGGGTTAGGGCGAGACGGCTTGAGCGATAGTCCGTGCGATTGTCTGGCGAGTTCTGTGGGAAAAGAGTTATAGGAGTTAACCGTGAAAGTAACAATCAATTCTATCTCGGATAGAATAACTAACTAGTAACAATCTTGTTGAGTAAAGTAACTGGTAAGAAAGTACAATTTGAGTTGACCACAACGAATGTAATAATGAAATATAACCCACTCTTATATCCATTGCCTTTAGTCCTGTCTTTACGGTCCTCACGAAATAATCCCTGCATCTTCTGAAGCCCTGAAGACACTTAGTCACGTGTAGGAGTTGTCCTCACATACTAGCGTGGATTCTTCGATCTTGGCCTGAAGCCTTGTCACGTGATCGCCGCCCAGCGGTGATCATTACCCTTTGACGTGGCGCCCAATGGTCTCCGACCTGTTGTAACGATGTTACAGCCTCGCCAAGTATCGGACCAATCCCAGAAGCCGGATCAGAGGAAGTATCGGCCGCCCCTTCATCAGCTACTCGTTCTTAGTCGGATCCGATTCGGACCCGACTAGGACAGGTATATATTGAGACACTCCCTGTAGCTAGCTCTGTAGACTTTTGATATCCTTTCGTACAAGGCCTATAGGTGTCTATTCGAATCAAGGCTCGTTTGATGTCCCACGCACTCCCATATGCCTCTGAGTGACACTACCGCCGGTACTGATCCGAGTAGTCTTGCCTGCGCCGTTACAATATAAGAGAAGAACCTATAAGAGTTAACTATAACGAGTGTAATAATAAAATCTAATATATTCTTATATCTATTACTTCTAGTCCTACTATCCTGTCTATCCCATCGTTTTGCCTCTTGGCGGGATATTTGGGATAGCACGCCATCCCAAGACCCACTGCTATCCTATTCTTGGCGGGATGGCCATCCTTAGCGGGATAGCACATCACGTGACTTCGAGCCCCGCGATGATCGTTACTTTCTGACGTGGATATAGTTGGCCTTCAACCTCTTTGTCTTTGTCAAGGAGGGAATCCTTCTTGTTACTTGTAACATAGTTTATGTATCAGGGAGGTCATTTAACTTGCACTAATCTATTATTTGAATATAGCCTTGTTTGTCTATTTTGATTGAATCTATACACCCTCCATATAACGAGAAAGCCTGTTAAACATTCGTTTCGACTTGAGGAGGTGATCACGTAGCTAGGGTATATGGCACCGGCAAAGAGACCGAGGGACACCTTTAAACCTCTAAAGCCATTAGAGAAAGCTTCTGTAAGAGAGATTTAACAACTTACCTACGCTACGGCTGCATAGCGCCCCTTCCGCGCTCGCTTCTGCTAGCCCTTCTTGCTCTTGAGTTTTAAGGCTGCTCGATACAATTACCTAGGTACATTTATACATAAAATACGAAGAGAGAATCAATCTATCGACCTATTACGCAATCTCTGACTCCGAGATTTTAAGCTAGTCTTGTAGCGCTTCCAAATATTGACGGAAATCTGCTTTTAAAAGCTTTAAGATCATCAACTTCCAAACCTTCCACCTCCTTTACTTCCACATCACAAGAGCCGATCAACAAGTATTAAATAGCCCGGCGCAAATTACTACACTCCATGCCCCCCCCCGGATTGCCTGAGCCAAAACTATTTATTGTCCACCTCTATCTGCTATTTCATATGAATATTGAAATCGATTGTCGCGATCCCGATTCCAAACCAGGTATAATATTCGACAGGGTTTAGACGGATGCAATACCCATGCATCCCCGACGCCGAACTCCCCACCGCCTTCTCACTCTCCTGATCGACCCCCACTGCCGTCCCTCCGTAACGGCGGCTACATGGAGGACCTCGAGAGCCGCGACCAGTCGTGCCGTGTGTCGGGCATTGTTGTTTTTTGCGAGCAAGCGCACCTGGTCCCGGCGGGCGAGAGGGAGCGGTGGGACACCAACATGGGCGAGAGCAGCGACCTTGAGATTCAGTTGGCGCTGAACGGGATGCTGCTGGGGGTGGACCTGCATCGGTCGTTCGACGCTGGCACGTGGGTGCCGATGGTGAAGGAGGGCGGCCGGCTGATTGTGTACGTGGTGCGGACGGCTGATTGTGTACGTGGTGCGGACGGCTGTGTTGAACCAGTTCGCCGCGCTGTGGCACAGCGTCAAAATGCAGAAGCTGTTGGGCATTGACTGGCGCGCCTGTTTGCACGTGGTCGCGTGGGCGGTGCTGTCGCTTCGCCACGAGTTTCTCTCAATTTAGCGACTAGCGAGAGACAACCTGTTCCTGCGGATAAAGGGCAGCGAGCTAAAGGAGATGATGCCTGACACGTTCGAGCAGTTTTCGCGCTCACGGTCGAGGAACCTGAGCCCGACCAAGTGGCCGCGGTTGCAGGCGCTCAAAGAGGATGCTGGTGTTTTCATCGCTGCGGAGCTGGGTTGGGGTGACGAGGCTGGTAATGAGGCAGGTAACGACTTGGAGGACAAGGAGCAGCAGCTCTACGGTGCCGACGATGACTCAGGCCCGTATCAACGTGGCCGCAAACGCTTACGGAACCCTGTACTATTGCCGCCACCGTAGGACGTTGGCACAGATCCGCTCCTCGAGCTCGAGCATCTCTGCATGCCGATAACCCCATCGAGGGCAAAGAAGCGAATCAAGCGCGCTACTGCTGTGCAACAGGTTATGCTTTCCCACCCGCTTGCCCCGTAGAATTCTCATCGTATTGAAGTGCGTGTGCTGATGCCATGCTCGACTCCGCTCCGATGGATGTAACAAGCGACGCTGGCGCTGGGCAAGTAGTACGGAGGCAGGAGTGCGCGTTAACGCTTAATATGTCAGGCCCAGGTTTTAGTCTGGTGGCCTAACAAGTACGCACAAAATCAGCCCAGTCTGCCTTGGCCGGGCTATAAGTATTGCGTGTACTGTAATATCTCCTTCCTAACAAGATCTAGATTTATTTTTTCAGTTGACAGGTCAGAGCCATACATCGACCTTCACGACTTCACCACGTCCATGATGGCTTCGATTCTAGTCTCTCTTCTATACTACTTCGTCTTTATACACGTTAATTACGCGTCACTAGCTGCTGGACAATTGGTCTTCCCTGTCCCAAGTGGTCAATATGCAGTCGCTCATAGCACGCTTAAACTCACCGACGACTCCCGAGTTGACCCCTACGACCCCAATCATGGGAAGCGGAATGTCATGATTTCCCTTTTCTATCCGATACCTCGCTATGCATGTGAGCAAACCTGTCCAATTCCATACATGCCTACCATCACTGCGACCTACGTTGACGCCTTCGCCGCTCAATATGGGGTTCCGAACGGTACATTCGGGTCTATCCGGATGCAAGTATGCTGCAAACCATCTCGCCGCGTGGTTAAAGATGTCGGGAAGTTCCCACTTGTATTATTCTCCCCCGGCTTGGGTGGTTCTCGGCTACTGTACAATGTGCTCGCAGAATCGCTAGCGAGTGCGGGATATGCAGTTGCTACGATGGATCATACGTTCGAGGCCCTCGTGGTTGAGTATCCTGATGGATCATTCACACCCGGACTCAACGCGTCGTACTGGGACCCGAGCATACCCGGAAGACTGGAGTCACTCTTGGGTGTGCGAGTCGAGGATGGCCGCTTCGTCTTATCGCAGCTCGGGCGCAAAGATGTTGTCCGGAAGTTGGCGCCCGGGTCGGCGTGTGGATTCAATACCAGCCGTGTAGCATTCTACGGTCATTCGTTCGGCGGGGCCACAGCAATCTCCGCACTCATGAACGACACACGCTTCACCGGAGCCATCAATATGGACGGCACACAGTACGGCAATCAAACTGATGTCAAGAAACCCGCCCTGCTATTTGGCCGAGCAAAGCCAAGTCCGCACAATCGTACGAACGATGCTAGCTGGGAAGGTGTTTGGAGGCATTTGAAGGGATGGAGAAGAGAGCTTGGATTAGAAGATTCAGAGCACCTTACGTTCGGTGATGTTCCATTACTCCTCAAGCTGATTAGGTTACCGATTCCTGTCAAGCCGATCATTGGGAGCCTGGATGGTGAAAGAAGCTTTGAGATTATTACAACGTATATCGAGGCGTTTATGGATTATGTCTTGAAAGGGAAGAAGAGTGAGCTTTTTGACGGACCGAGCGAGAAGTTTCCTGAGATTGTGGTGGGATAATGTAGTTTTCCTCAATGCCGATGCTTACCAGATTGCCCAGTAAAAGGCTCAATGTGGGGTGCGCCTGCGTCTATTAATTCAATGAGTCTGCTCCTAATGCCAACCTTTGGACCCTCCTATTTCAAGATCTGATCTGACTGTGGCTGTGCTCGAAATGTCTTAAATACCGCGCGATGATATCGGTAATAGTAAAATACCTCTCTATGGCTATTATAAAGAGGTCGTAGAAAAAGTAGAGAATAGACCTAACTAACATAAGGCGGCGATTCCCCTTCTGAATCGCGCTAAGATAGCTGCGACAGGGGCTGCAGCCTGTGAGGGCGACTACACGCAGCATTAGTGGACGAGCAGAAGAGAAAGAAGATGATCTATTTGAAAGTAGGAAATAGCAGATAATGAGCTAACTACAGGTAATCACCAAGTAATATACTAGCAAGTCTAGGATATCTGCAAGGATGAATGAGCCTAGCTAGGCTATAGCAAGCAGCTTGCTTGGCCTAGATCCTAACAGCAGCAAGCGCCAGTCTGCAGCTTGCTCAGCTAACCCTTGACCTAGCTAACAGCTTATCAAGTCTGCAGCTCGCCTTAGTAGATAGCAAAGAAGAAGAAGAAGAAGAAGCAAAGGCTAAAAGCAATCCAACTCGAGTGTAGATGAGAGCAAGCGTAATCTGACTCGAGTTGGGATGAAAGCCGAAGAATGCAAAGAAAAGAAGGGCTAAGAAAAGAAAAGTAAGGTAAGCAAGAGCAAAAGGAGAAGAAGTGACAGCTGACTAGACCTTTTAAGCTTGAGTCCTTATACAGCCAATCAGCGGCGAGAGGAATCGCTAGATAATGCTACCGAGGCCCATTATCTACCTCCAACTTATCGCTAGAGTCTCTACTTGAATTTGCACTTAATTTCATTCATTAGTAATTCATGTATAATACTTTGAGATAGAGATACGTACGCAGTAATCCTTATATTGTGGTGTTGCGTCCATAGTTTCGCAATTATTATTCGCTGGCCCTTCTTTTATTGCAGGATCAACATGATCGGAAAAACACTTTAATGAGTTAGAGAAGTTTAGTAATTTCAATGAAGTTAATAGTCTTTAGTGTTGCAGTTTAGAGGAATATAAAGATATGCCTACCCTCCAAACATGAGGCTGAGATGGACGCCCAGTACAAAGCCAATCAGCTTTTTCCAACGTTTTACACGTCCTCGCATCAGTTATAAGGGGGAAGATGAATATCAGTGGAACTAAAAGAGTCTTCATGTTATCGATATCAGAGAGAGGATATCTTTCAAAATGACTCTAGAATAAGATGTTGTGATGAACGTGTTATATAGAGATGTTATTACCCTAACTATTTATCCATATTTTCATAAGCCTTCTCTAGGTATATTTCCGCACTAAGAACCGTGCGTAAAGTGATATTAAACTATATTCTTATTTCTAGCTAGGAAGTCGGAAGTGGATATAGAACCTTAAAAAATAATCGTATCTCTAAAATTGAATATTAGTAAGAAAGTGATTACGAAGTATCTACCACTGAATAGATATAGCAGTGGCTTTGAGTTTCATTACTGCAACACTAAAATTAGGCTCATCTCAAACAACACGAAACCTTGGACATTAGTCAGCTAAAGCTAAATCTGACATAATCTGACTGAATATCTAACTATAGATAGTTTCAAAAGATATTGCGCCTGCAGATTAACAGGAATATTGTACTTCGACCGCAATACTACCAAGATAGTACCGAAATGTCACCAACATGCCACCGAAATACCACCTAGATACTACCGAAATACTACCATCTGTCAGATTGAGATGTTTGATCAAGAACTTTGATAAATAGATATGACAAATTATGTAGTTGTATTGAACCAATCTAACTCTACTCCATTATATCTAATCTTAGAAACGCGCTAGCATATCTTTTGATAATTATATTTCACCTATTGTTTTTTCTTTTTATATTACGGTACATTGTTATGGACAAGCGAAACTGCTTATGCTGGCAAGATTGTAATAAGTTTCAAGGAATACATTAGCGGTGTTCTCGGGTTCACCAGCTCGCCCAGCTGCCGAGTCTTTGATCATCTGCCTCATATGATCCTGCCCCTTTACTTCCATACATGCTTGTAGCAGCCTGTGCACGAAGCAGTTTTCCTTTCTTTGTAATTGTGTATGCCTCATTTATTGAAGGTTCGAATCTAAGACCGCATGTTTGAGCAGTTCTTCTTGTATAGCTGTGGCTCGGTGTTTTTCCATTCAGTCTTAAGAACTGCATGATGTTCAGCATACACATGACGTACCATTAGATACTATTTGAAAACGCTTCTATAACATTGGCCATCCCAACAAGATCAACTTCGTAGATGACTTTCGCACTTGCTTGGACAGGCGATACACCAGCGGTGTGAATGATGGCGTTAACATGGCCTACTTTACCAGTACTAGCAGCGAATTCAACAACGCTGTTGTATTTGCAAACATCTAGCTTGTAGGTCTCGCATTCTCGGCCCATAGCCTGAAGTGCTGCTGAAGCTGTATCTAGGTTTGCCTGGAGAAAATCAGCAATGTTGCCTTTTGTCAAGAATGTTTGTCTATTCGAACCTGGTTGAAATTAACTAGAAACACGAATTTGTCTCGGCTGAGCAATCGCGCTATAGTTAATCCCATTCCTCCAACACCCACAACAACCAAAACAGAAAGTGTATTTGATTCTGGCATTGTGGTCGAGAAACTGTAAAAAGTACAAGATGGTAGATATATGTGGATGTGAAAGTAAGCATAGAAGAGAAGGAAGAAGGAGAGGAAGAGTTTGGATATATTAGATTAGATTACTAAAATAAGATTCACTATCGAGTAGGCTATGAATTTGTGTCAAGGTTATCATAAGCAGCAATGCCGCGTCAGCTTGTATAAAGCCCGTCCAATACGTAATTACATAATTTGCCAGACTACCCGGCACAGCAGAGAGACCAACCGTACAGATGAATCAAGGTAAGGTCATCACAATACTCTAATATCAATCTATCAAGGATAGCCTTAAAAAAGTACGAATCTGAATCTACCTTTGCCATGCGTGATCGTAGGCAATAAATGCAAAACGTCGGCACGTCAAGTCAGCAGCTATGAGGGATGATCCTTAGCAAAGGAGCTAGGATTTGCATCCATCGAAGCCAAGCTACAGCCAGATGTGAATGTCAGTACAGTATTTGAACTGATTCTGGCAGAAGCCGAGAAAGAATATAAGAATGTCATGAAATACTGGAGTGCATATATTGTACGATAGAATGATTAATATTCATTCCAAATTCTCAACATAGCTAAGGTCGAAATGATTCCAACGGCGCACAGATGACCTCCATTAAGCTCCTGCCGCACTCTTGCTTAATCTGCACCAGCTCTCCCCTGTCAAGACCTAGCCTAGATGGTATAGGTATTCAAGTAGCATTCGAGAATGAGGAGAGGCTTTGATCATGCAGATAGTAGGTTACATGAACGTGAGTCACGTGATATAATATGCATAATCAAGGAGTAATATGAGCCAGTTTTAACTAAGCCAATAATAATTTCAAATACTCTTAACGCGGATTTGTCCCTTTAGGAAAGAAGCAGCCCTGATTGCTGTTACCTCATTCTTGTGACGTTTGATTTGTCATGATACACGACTGACCTAAGCGGCTTAAGTCGAGAGGGGCTGTGCTAACATGCCAGATGACACTGAAACTCGCTTCAAAACATTCCACTATCAATGTCAACTCATGTCAATATGACTTCACTACTGCCCGTGCCAGTGAGGCTCCAGGCTGATCTGCATGGCTTATGCGACTTCTGCATAGACATAGACTTCACGACGCTGTTCTCTGATCGCAAGTTCACGAGCCCGACAAAGATGACGAGCGGTCTCTTGCTTTTCCATCGCAACACTGAACTCTGTTACCTGTACAGTCACCTCCAAGACTGCGTCGCATGTCCTTTCTGCACCTTCATCGCTCAAATAGTAGGCAAGAACCCTGCAGCTAATGCTGGCTTGACCGCGATAGACGTGGAACGTGGCGAGCTCAGCGACTTCAAGGGATATAGGGAAACCGACACCGTCCTCTCTGGTTTGAAATTCCTGTTCCTCAACGGCTGGACCTGGGCACCGAATCGGCGTACGCCAGGATTCGAGCTGTGTGTTGGTATTATTGGATCGCACCAGCTCTTTGTGCCAGTATCCATCGAAGACTTAATAGATTCAATATACGGGATGTACAAGGAAACCATGAATCCAACTACACCGCCAGATGAGACGATACAGACGATCGGGAATGCTCGGATCATGGACACCTACATCAAGGGCGAGAAAAGGTATACCATTGAGATTCAACGACTTGGACCGAGAGTCGATCTCAATCGAGTAAGATCCTGGATAGCCAATTGTGAGGTTAACCACCACGGATGGTGTGCGAAAGCGGTCCAGCCGCCAATGCCGCCTGTGGACTTCAGGTTGATTGATGTATCTACCGGAACCATCGTTGAGATGAACACTGACTGTCGATATGTTGCGTTGAGCTATCGTTGGGGGCAAGTGAAACATCTCCAACTTACAGAGGCAACGAAAGAGGAATTAATGACACCTGGGGGATTAGCCAGCAAGATTACTTCCCTCCCGAAAACCATTCAAGACGCCATTTATTTATGCCAACAGATTCAGGAGAGGTACTTGTGGATAGACACAATATGCATTATGCAAGATTCAGACGTGGATAAGAATGAGCAAATCAAAAAAATGGACTCTATATACGGAAAAGCATTTCTCACAATCGCAGCCGCAGGGGGCAGTGACGCATCTGCCAGCCTTCCTGGTCTCCGCAAGGACTTTCAGGATCGCCAGCCAACTCTCAATATTGCAGGTCTTGGACTAGTATCTTTACATACGGGTGTGGAGAAGTTGACCTCTCGATCTGAGTGGAATACTCGCGGCTGGGTATTCCAGGAACAGGTCCTTTCAACCCGCATCCTTTATTTCACCTCTGACCTAGTCTACTTTGAGTGTCTGGAGTCGCTCCGACGAGAAGATTTTAACATCTTCGGCCCAAACGCTGAAAAGTTTAGACTAACACCAGACTCCAACGACAACTCTGGCTTTCAGGCCTACAAAACCCGCTGCAACTTCCGCCAGCAAATCTGTGACCCAAATCTCGACTTCTCGAAAATCAAGGACAATCTGCGCAAGCATGCTCCTATGATGAGAGCTATGTTCACGACATTCTCTATGTTGGTGAAAGACTACACTCGCCGTGACCTGACACAACATAGCGACATCCACAACGCCTTTCTTGGTGTCGAGAAATTTTTGTGTAGGCACATGGGCCCATTCTTCCAGGGTATTCCCGAGGCGGCAATTACAAGTGGCTTAGCGTGGCATTCCCTCTATGCACAACCCAAACGGGTTCCGCAATACCCGTCGTGGTCATGGCTGGGGTGGAAATTTGGCGGCGGGAACTGCGCATGCTATCCAGGGACCACGTGGAATTGTGCCCCAAAATTTTTTCGTGTTGAAAACACTAGTATGTTAGTAAGCGTCTTCGAGGGCCAGGCGGATATACCATGGCGGAATAAGGAAGAGAAGAACACAATAGAGGAGCATGGCAACCTTTGGCGTATGCCAGCGCAGTATGAAGCTGAGCAGATGCAAGCAGCGGGAGACATGATTAAGGTGCTGCACAGCCAGTGCGGAAGGTCTCCAGATCAAGTACCTCCGCTAGAGCATCTCCTGATATTTACTGCTTCGATCGTACCGGCTGCGCAGGTCGCAGCTGGTGAGCTCAAAGTTTTGTTTACCAGGTCACGCGAGGATGGCGCGGTTGAGACACATGCTACATTAGAAGTGACTTCGGAGCTCTGTAAGTTACTTATGGGGGGCATGCTAGAGTTTGTGTGCTTCACAGAAGGGTTAACTCCGTCAACGTCAGTGTTCTTGCTCCTGGTGGAGTGGAAAGCCGGTGTCGCTTATCGCGTGTGCCCAGACATGTTATTCTACGTGGACCAATGCAAATGGGAAGAGGTCACAAAGGCGTGGAAACTGATAATTCTAGCATGATCGCAACACATGTTTAATGAGAGTTGCCACCTCTCTTCTAACTAATGCGAAAATGATGCTAAATATTTAACTGAATGACGACGTGCAACATGATGTTGAGTAATCAGAGGAAACCGATATTGAATCCAACTGTAGTTATACATACTTATCTAACGTATTTGGCCTTGAGGATAAGTGGAGATTGAACCCACAAGAATCGATGTTCCTGATTTAGCCAGGCTATTCTCTCTGAACAGAGCTCGAAATCAAAGTGCCATATAAGATGCGCAAGAATAATCCGCATCTCATGGTCAGCCAAGCTACGTCAGAGTATTAGCGATGTCTCCCTTTATCAATTCTTCCAATATTGAACTTACTTCTGGCCAATACAATTGCGTGGCCCAACAGAAAATGGGTTCAATACATCTTTGCGGTCACTATCATAGCCCGATCCAGGTAACCAACGCTCTGGAATAAAACACTCTGAATTCTTGAAGTTCGAAGGATAGTGATAAGCAGCGAAATGGTGTATGGCAATGCGGGTCTGCAGCGACAGCTGAATTAGCTATTTTCCTCTCACTGACACTACAAGATGTACTTACGCTTTCTAGTATCCATTCTCCACAAACCATATTACACCCCTTAGGCGTGGTACGGAAGAATGTAATTGGTGCGGGCGGGTAGCATCTGAGAGCCTCTTGGATACATGCATTTACGGAAGGTAGATGCGCCAATTTATCAGGGCTCAATTCCTCCTTCTTGAGCACAAGCACCTCTTTTTGAAGCCTTTGCATGTAGTGTGCATGCTTTAGCAAGAGAAATATCAGACCACTCGGCAGAGTCGCAGTAGTCTCGGTTCCAGCCATCATGAAAGCTTGTGCGTGGGTCGTCATCTGCCTCTTTTGTAACCTCGATAAGCCGTCGGATTTCTCCATAGCAAGCCTCCATATGTCAGGTTTCCCAATGTTGATGCCTCGCTCCAGCCGCCTTTCCACAAGTGTGTAGGACTGTTCGTAGTGGAGACGGGCTCCCTCGATGATGGTTTTCGAGTTAAATACTTTGATCAATCGAGCTAGAAGTGGATACTCACGCGCGACGCGTGCAATCGACATTTCCTGGACGTTGTCAAAGACTGCTTGAACCCATGATGTTAACTTTGGTTGATCGAGAAGACCAAGAGGCTCTCCAAAAGTCAGATCTGCCATCACATTAAACGTCATGCAGTTCAGCAACCTGACCATATCAAACCGGACAATCGGGTTACTCGCCGCATAGTTCTTAATAATTCTTAATAGTGGATTGAGATAATCAAGAATCAAAGGCTCTTGCATCTTCAAAGCCCTATCGCTAAACGCTGGTGCAAAGACTCGTCGTTGCGACCTATGCTCTAGTGTATCAAACTGGGAGCTAAGAGTTCTCATACCGTATAAGTCAGGTCCGAACGTGGATTTGTCCTTTGAGTTATCAAGGCACTTTCCCATCCCAGGGCCAGCAATATCTTTCCAAGCTTGAGGTGTTACATAGCTTAGTCGATCAGGTCCAATCCGCACGACTTCGCCATATTTCCTGTGTGTTTCTGTTTCCCATGTAACCTCTTCACCACGTATGAGCTTGTATAAGAATACCAATCCAGTCGCTGCTGCAAGCTTTGGGCCAGGAACTATTGAAGCGCATTAGTGGACTGGCTTTTTCGAGCATGAGGGGGACTTACATCTGCGCAAAGGATGGAAATATATATTATAAAAACAGGTAATAACGAATTTTAGAAGATCCTTTTGTCTATTCAACAGGTTGTTACGATGTATTGATAACAGGCGTACTTACTACCGCAGGAACGAAACCAATGAAAACAGGTACATTCTTATTTTGCAAGATAGCAGAAAGGTGGAGGAGATTTCGTGAAGCGTCCATTGTGAACAGCTAGAATCTAAGCTGTGTATTTGCGCTGCGTATAATGGGTCTGAATCTTTGTTTCAATGATACTTTTCATGCCAGAGTAGTAGTGGTAAAAGATTGATATGAGTTTGAGATCGCAAAGAATTCCCAGTCAAGTTCTAATATATTCGATTACAGCGACCAAACAAGCTTATTCATTAGGAATTTTATTTTAAACGTAGGACGACGGAGCATCGGAGCCTCAGCTATGTAAAACCACGACAGGTCGGAATGTCGGAATGTCGGAGCATGGGATTCTGGCTATAGTAGAGATATATACATATTACTATATAGCTATTGTTATAAGAGAGAGCATGTCTATAATATGTAATCAACATGCATACATGTATTCGCTAGTATATTAGGTCTGTACTTCGTATTCTTGTTGAACAAAGGAGAGAATTGAAACCATTATCGCCTGTTGAGGGAAACTGGCCTGCGATAAGGTTTTTGGATGAGCATTTTGAGTGTGTGGATACTGCCTCATGGAGCAAATAATGACTACAACCAAGCATAGTCGGTCCCCAAAGTTAATCGGCAGCCGCATATGGCATGTCCATCTATCTTTTGTTTCATTGGTGTTTTCAGAACCAAATACTAGCGATGATCAGGTATACTAGGCAATACCTCAGGATGTAACTCTTGCTGACGAGGAGATAGAGGGGTATTAGTATTTATACTACCACTGGAGTATACATACTAGTATATCATTAGCTAGCTTATTGAAAATCTGCGTGATATGATGATTATCCCTAAGCTATTATTATTATTATTATTATTTAACGTCCTGTCTCAGCCGGTGGGCTATATAAGACGTGCAGGCTAGGCCTACAAGTAACTACGTAGTACTATCAATTTGGTGTAGTTGGGGGAGGGGGCTATCTAAATCGAGATGAGGCTCGTAGCCTAGTGTGGGGGAGGGTAGTAGGGGGTCTTGCGGGTAAGAGGAGAGGTAAGGTAGGTGTAGAGTAGGGCACCTAGTGTAGGTGTTGCCCTAGTTGTCGAGGTTTCCTTTATACTAGGCCTGTGTTGCAGCCCTAGTTTCCTTAATAAAGGTAATAGTAGCCTATACGCCTACTATAGTATCTAGTAAGAAAGCTAGCGATAGAGGGTTCTTTGTAGCTTCTTATATCTTCCTCCTAGCCTTCTTATATTATTATTATTATTCTTGTTTAACGTCCTGTGTCAGCCGGTGGGCTATATAGGACGTGCAGGCTAGGCCTGCAAGTATCTACGCAGTTCTATTCAATTTGGTGTAGTTACAAGAGGGGGGTCATCTAAATCGAGGTGAGGCTCGTAGCCTAGTATAGAGGGAGGAAGTAGGGGGTCTTGCGAGAGTGAAAGAGGGGGGGAAGGGGGGGTTAGAGTCTAGTACCTAGTATAGGTATTACTCTGCTTTTCTTTCCTTAGCGCCTAGCCCTTGCTGTAAGAATCTCACAGCTTAGGCTATTTGCTGCGTGAGGTTCGCCACAGTTAGCACACTTATATATAGTGTGGACGCAGGCTTTTCCTTTAGTAGAACAAGTCTTACACTTATGCTGACTAGTACTGTGTGGCTCTGCACAGAGCTGGCAGGCTAGCTTAAGACATCTAGCTTTTTCGTGTCCAAATCCTTGGCATCTATCGCACTGCTGAACGTCTCTTACTATTCTTAGCTTTTCTGCTCTTAGGCTCTCTCCTAGGATATAGAGCTTTCCTCTAATAGCCTTAAGAGCCTCCTCTTCGGTCGCAAAGGCGACGCAGGCGGAGCCATAGCTCTGCTGTCCTCTCTTAGACTCAGGAGTGAGCCAGAAAGGAGTGCCTACTACTTTGAGGCCCTTGTTGAAGGTCTCAATTTCGTCTTTGATCACCTCTAGGCCGTGGTTTGTAGGTAGTTTATGGATAACTACTTTGAACCACGAGGTGATAGGCTGCGCTGTCTTAAAAGTCGTAATATCCTGCCAGATATTCTGATTTTCTAGCAGGTATTTTGCTGTAAAGGCAGGCGTAGTAGTAAGCACTTTATTGCCTTTTGACGATATGGTAACTGAGGCTACTACAGGCGACTGTACTCCTCCTTTTGCGGTAAAGGCCTCGTTAAAGGCGTTTCTTAGCCTAAGGGCGTTAAAAGCAGCAGGGGCTCCTTGGCTGACTAGGACTAGTTGCCTCTCCTTTAGGCTAGGCTTAGCCTTTTGGGGTTTCTTTTGTATAGCAGTCCACTGTTGCTCTTTGCTCGCTGCTGTAGCTGCAGCTGCAGCGTAGGATATAGGCTGGGTCGTAGGCTGCTGTTTTTCATGCTGCTGCTGCTGTTGCTGGCTTGCCTGAATAGGCTTTTCTAGGCGCCTAATCTTATCTCTAAGCTCCTTTGAGGCGTTTGAGAGAGAGGAGATCTGATCTCCTAGGATTGCAGAGTTCTTCTTGTTTACTCTACCAGTCTCAGTGTAGTCTCTAAAGACTTCTACTAGATCTAGTAGGCTAGTCTGCTCTGTTGGGTTGTTTTCAGCAAGATTAGCAGCTTGAATTACTAGATTTCTAGCCATTTCAAGAGCTTCTTGTACTGAAGTCGCCTTTGGTGTCCTATTAAAAGGATTTCTAAGTGTTGCACCTTTAAAAGGTGAGAAGTTGCATCTAGTACGTGTACTTGGCTGGATTGCTTCTGGCGAGAAGTCTGCTTGTCTCTTTTTAGGCGGTAGGATAGGTATTTCGACTACACTAGCTGTCTGAGTAGGCGTAGCTAGATAAGAGGCTTCCATCTCTATCTCATTCTGAATTTGGCTTTCTAGTCTAGTAGCCTCCTGTCCTCGCACCTGTACATTGATAGTATCGCTGTCAGGTGGCATTTTGGATGAGTAAGCTAGTTGGTCTGTGTGTTTTGCTCTGGAAGTGAGACGTGTCCAAAACGCTCTACTTTGGCTGCCTCTAGCTCCACAGCGCGTAGGCTGCACGCTTTAAAAGTAGCTGTAATCGATTTCTTGGGGTTTCTTTGTATATATCTGACTAAAATTACACCTATTCTGAAAAACTCGAAGTTGGTGTGGCCTAGCCTTCTTATATAGCGTGCAGCTAAGGAGGATATATGCAGCGTCTTAAGTAGCTCTATAGTTGCAGGGATAAACACTAGAGTCTACTATTTCTCGCTTAAATAGAAAGTCTTATAGATAGTAGTAACCTAGCTTTGTAACGACATGGAACCAAGCTCCTTAGTGACCAGGTAGCCTATGCCAGGCCAAGGCCCGGATCGGATCCGACTCGGACCCGATACCTAAGCCTACACTCAGAGGTATAAGTACTACTTGCCCTACTATAGTTATTTAATAGATTTTTAATATCCTTTCATACTGGGTGTTACAAGTAACAAGAAGGATTCTCTCCTTGACGCAGGGTGACGAGGTTGAAGGCCAACCACGTCCACGTCAGAAGGTAATGACCATCGCGGGGCTCGGAGTCACGTGATGTGCCATCCCGCCAAGACAGGACATCCCGCCAAGAATGGGATGGCAACAGACTTTGGGATGGCAGGCCATCCGGGACATCCCGCCAAGAATCAGAATGATGGGATGGAGGGGATGGCAGGACCATTAGGCAACGGGTATAAGAACGGGTTGGATTTCATTATTACACTCGTTGTGGTCAACTCTCATAAGTTCTTCTCTTACACAGATTGATACTTAGTTATTCTATCTTTAGAATTGATTGTTACTTTTCGGTTAACATCCATAACTCTTATCCACTACGAATCGCCAGAAAACAATCGCACGGTTTACTTCATCATACCGTCTCTGTAACGATGTTACAGCCTCGCCAAGTATCGGACCAATCCCAGAAGCCGGATCAGAGGAAGTATCGGCCGCCCCTTCATCAGCTACTCGTTCTTAGTCGGATCCGATTCGGACCCGACTAGGACAGGTATATATTGAGACACTCCCTGTAGCTAGCTCTGTAGACTTTTGATATCCTTTCGTACAAGGCCTATAGGTGTCTATTCGAATCAAGGCTCGTTTGATGTCCCACGCACTCCCATATGCCTCTGAGTGACACTACCGCCGGTACTGATCCGAGTAGTCTTGCCTGCGCCGTTACATAACCCGGATCGAGACTTAGAGAAGTATAGCCCAACCCCGTGTAACATAGCGCTTATTCCCACTCTAACACTAGCTCACAAAGCGTTACTAGTATCGACACGTGACCTAACTAAACCTTAGGCATAATAAGAATAATATGCGCAGTTAAGTTTATTTAATTATACATTGTTGTGGTAGATGTATGTACTAAAAGCTACGTGTTATTATTGAGGTGATCATTATCGTTGAGGTGATAGGCCCGTGCGGAGCATGGGCAATTTTATTGAAATTCTGCTACAGCAGCCGTTGGGCCTGAGTACTAAGCAGACTTTCGAGCATAGTGCCACGCAATCAATCAGGGGCAGAACGCATATCCACGCTGAGTCAGACGTATATTCGTAGTCGAAAAGTATATAACCGAGCTTAGAATATGATACCTCTCGCCAGAGGCGTTACTATAAATAGTATGGGGTTGTACTGCTCCGTTCTGGTCCGCACTAAGGTAGATAAGTCTTGTATTGAGAGACGTCTGTGAGGGGCTGCGCTTAGAGAGTAGGTACGTAGGCAGGTTAGAGTTGTATCCGATTGGTAGCTATACAACTGTTGATACGAGGGCTCATATTCAAGTACAAACTAGAGAAAACAGCTCTCACTTTAGTCTCAACGTCTTTCGGATAGAGCGTCCACCAAGGACTCACCAAGTGTCTCACTAGGAGAGCCTCAGCCCGCCACAAGTACTATAGTGAGCCAGCTGTCTATAGGCAAACTATTTTAGGGGCCTATACGGAGTATCGTCTGAGGTGAATAATAAGGCGCTGCGCTAGGGAGCTATCACCAGGGTATACGTAGTTGTGTTCAATGCTGACTCATCTAATATCCGTCACGGAGGGAATAGATGTCAGCAACGGAGTAACATTGACTAGAAAGAAAACTCTAATTAACTATAGGCCGGAGGAGGGCCGATACGAGGATAACGCTGCTTTGTTGTTTCTTAGTAGAGCGGCAGCATCGGCGTCTTTAGGCAGAACAAACGGCGACGGCGGCTAAAGTCATGTTGCAACAGCACATGTTGCGGGCATGCGCCACAGTCATTCTTAGTAACGTCCCCCCCTGCGACACGCAAGTCCCCCTATGCCGCAAAGAATCTGCGATTTGAGTATCTTAAAAGTCGCGCTGTCGCTAGTATTACTCTACGATAATGAAATACTAATTCTTAAGGTTATTCTCTATAAATTTAGAAGAGCGGTTAGAAATATTACTACGTGTTTAGTCCTGTTGTCGCCTATTCCGTATCGGCTAATCTAGGGTTGACTAGCTTCACACCCCTGTCGTAGCACGATATATACAAGGTTTCTACTTATTAGAGAGATACAACTATAGAAACATAAGAAAAGAAGATATCTCTATATTTATCTAAAGTCTTGTCTTTGAAAAGATTGTGTTCTAGACTTGTCCGAGTTATAGCCGTAATTCTATTCTATTCGCTTGTAACTTTAGTCTGCTTACGTAGATAGCGCACCTGTTTCTACTAGGTCGGATTGGGCCAAAGTGTGGCGCTTAGTTCTCGAAGCATCTATCTAGTCACGTGCTGATCTATTTCTGGCATTAGAGCGCGTTCCTTTGTCTTCCGAGCGGCGTGGTAGGGAGGGTGGGTGTCTGCCGTAGTGGCCTCAGTGGCAGTACTCACAACACCACGATCGTAGGCATGGCCCAATCCAGGCAAATGTTAACACAAGCTATTTCGTGTGATGCACCAACAACTTGGACTTCCCCATTGTAGGATGATGCTATTCCGTACCATACTCGGTACTACCGCAGGCGCGGACGACCCTCTATGAAGGAGAAGGCCCAAGGCCAGCAGTACCTTACCCCAGACGAAGAGAAAGCCCTTGTCGCATATCTTTTGCTAATGTCTCAACTCGGACAGCCCGTCCGAATCAAGTATATACCCTCGTTAGCCTTTAGCCTCGCACGCGGCGGACGATGACGATGACCGGCAAACCTATCAAGCCCCCGGGCAAGAACTGGGCCCGGTCCTTTGAGAAACGCAACCCTAGACTAAAAGGGAGGAAAGTAAAGGCAATAGACTGGAAACGACACGAACGGAATATCTATACTAAGGTTACACACTGGTTTGAGACAATCAAGGGAGTCCTGCAGGACCCGAGGGTACGGCCTGAGAATGTATATAATATGGACGAGACGGGCGTCATGCTGAACATGCTTGGCTCTGTCAAAGTCCTGGTAAGCAAGGATGACCTCCGTGACTATAGGGGAGCAGGCGTCAAGCGCACCCAGGTAACTGCTATTGAGTGCATCAGTGCTGACGGTAGGTCGCTGCTCCCTCTTATTATCTGGCCAGCTTCGACCCATAGGAGTAACTAGACTACTTTTCCAACCCCTGGCTGGCATTATGGGCACTCGGAGAACGGATATAATGACTCGAAGATCAGCCTGGAGTGGCTTACCCGTGTATTTGATCCTCAAACAAGTGGACGAGCTAACGGAAAGCCCCGGGTCCTAGTTTGCGATGGTTTTGGAACACACGAGACCCTCGAAGTCCTAGAATTCTGCTTCGCTAATAATATTACTATGTGCCGCCTGCCGTCTCACACCTCACATAAACTACAGCCCTGCGATGTTGGAGTCTTCGGGCTTCTTAAGACAGCCTATCGTGACGAGGTAGAACGGCTCTGCCAGGGAGGGCTAGAAGCTGTTAGCAAGGAGCACTTCATTTCTATATATAAGCCTGCTAGGGAAACGGCCATGACCAGGCGGAATATCACTGCCGCATGGGCGGCAAGTGGTTTATTCCCATTCAACCCAGAGAGAGTCCTTCAAAAGACGCCAAAGCCGCCCTCAGAGATAGCTATTCCAGACGTGCTTCCTCGTCCACAAGACCAACAAGAAGCTCAAGTACC